TAAATAAATAAAAGGAAAAGTTAAATGGTAAAGTAAATGGCGTTGGTGGCTTAGTGGTAGAGCAGGTGCCCCATGTACAAGGCTGTTGCCACAGCGGCCCAGGTTCGACTCCAGCCTGTGGCCCCTTGCTGCATGTCTCTCCCCCTCTCTCTGCCCCCTTCACGCTTGTCTGTCCTATTAAATAAAGGCTAAAAATGCCCCAAAAAATATATATAAAAAAAAAAGGTAAAGTAAATAAAAATTAAATTAATAAAATCACCTGTATGGCCTACAACTTTGCAACTTCCACTGAACTATAGGACCAATTGTGAAGACACACTCATCTCCAAGCTGCAAATTATGAAGTCCATCCATTTTTTTTTTTTACCAAAAACTATAAAACTAATTAAACCTATCTACTCCAATTTTTTTTTTGCTCAGTTCACACCAAATATGCTACAAAGCATCTTCAGACTGTCCCACATAATCATGTTGTACAGATTTTCAATTGATCAAAAATTGAGCCCACAGTTCATCATAATGCATCATGGTAAACAGCTTCTGCATATTCTCATTAAATGAAGTTTAAAAAAAAAGGGAAAAAAGACAATATTTTGCTGTAAGGATAGATGTATTTGATTTCAGCATTTTATGTCAAAAACTGAAAATCTACACCAGTGAGGTAGCTCAACTTGATAACAACTTGCCACTGGTGTCTAAAGGCTGTGAGTTGAGGTCCTGGGTGGTGCAGATTGATGCCTCCTCAGATGTTGTGCTGTGTGGGTTAGAACACATGTTTTCAAGGATATTTTTGGTTTTTCAGCACAGAAAGCTCAACTGGATCACAATTAGCAATTGTTCTTCTTGATGCTGCTCAAAATGCCCGGCCCTGACCCCTTGTTGCACAGAAGCTATAAATTATTTTTGATTTTGGCAGCTTCGACCCTTAATACATTTCCTGTTTGTATCATTCAAAGCATGATGGGAGAAACTCAAAACATATATATATATATTAGATTGTGACAAGAGAAGGACAAGCAGTGTGAAAGTTACCTTTTTTGTTTAACACTGTCAGTATAGATGAGCACAGACATTTGGAGGGGAAGTTAAAATACACCTCTCATCTATTAATTCATAACTACCTACCACTTTAACCAGAGATATGAAGAGAAACATACTTTATTGGAGATAAAGTGTATATGAAGTGGATGTCAGGCATTTCAGTAATGATTCACCTGCTGTTTGTCTGCACACACAAGCAAAATCAAACATATAAAAATTCCCGGCAAGATTGCCGAACAGGTTTGGTGAATAAGGCGTGGTGTACTGGAGAAAAGTTGTGTGGCATGTTTTCGTTTTGAAGGACTTGCGTTGAAGCTCAAACTGGGCTGCACCTCGCTGTGTGTGTGCTCTCAAAGTCACAAATTCTTATTTCATGGTTTAACATGCAGGCACACTGGGAGCCATGAGCAGTATCAAACACAATCATCTTTTAAAGTGAAATCCATATTTCCGGGGTAAAGGAGTAAACAAGACAGAGCTGTGTCTAAGCAGCTGAACAGATAAGATAAACATCATATTTCCTTAAGTTTACATTTGAGTTGTCTTTGTGCAGTGATAAAATACAGCCGCTGATGGATGAAGTGAGAACATCGGATAAAAACTGAAAAAGATGCTATGCAGTAATCTGTGCACTTGAGATAATAAACCCCAACTGGCTTTTAAAGATCAACCCAAAAAAGTCAACATGATAAAATGATACACAGCTTCATGAGAACATAATCTGAATGACAACACCAGCTACAAGATACAAAAGAGAAAAACAAAAAGCTATTAAATGACAGAGAAATAAGCATGAACACAGGCTGTAATGGAGATGAGCATGGTAATAAGCGTGTGTTTTCCTGTGTGCGTGTATGTGTGTGTAGGGAGAGAGAACAAGGAATTAGGTGATGCACTGCGCCATCCTGAATTATCAACACAAGGAAAATAAATGAGTGTTTTTCTGTTGTACAAAGCAATTAGAACTCAGATTAAACAATGTGCCCTTAGCTTCAGTTGTAATTTATTGATTTTTACAAAAAATAATTATTAGTTTTTGAACAAAGCATCATTTGTGTTCTGTCCCCATTGAAGTAGAGGGCATTAGGTACTCAGACGATGTGGTTTGTAGACAAAGTGATAAAGTCTGTACTAAATTGCACCTTTTAATCTAGTCTTAACTGCATAGAAATGATATCTTTAAGGTCTTTTTTATGCCTCCATGCCAGCAAGAGTGCTGGCTGAAGGCATTACGTTTTTGGGTCGTCCATCCGTACGTCCCATTCTTGTAAAGGCGATATCTCAGGAACACCTGAAGGGAATCTCTGCAAATATGGCACAAACATCCACTTGGACCCAAGATAAACTGATTAGAATTAGGTGGTCAAAGCTCAAGGTCACTGTGACCTCCTTCTTTCTGGCCATAACTCAAGAATATATACGCTAATTACGACAAAATTAGCGTATATATTGGTGTGACATAATATTGCTTTCTAGCCATGATTCAATGCCATAACTCATTTGGTCAGATAATGGATTTGTGACACTGATCTTGGGTGTTCACCTTGAAACTGTACTGATTTTATTAATGCATACTCATACAACAATTCGTATGATATCTTGCAAATTAGCTGTTACATACATACATATTTAACATATGGTTATGTAGGTTAGGTTTAGGCAAGTAAAGTTACTGTGGTTAGAAAAAGAAACATGGTGGAAGACATACCTTGAAAAGACTCAAAGTTTACACAGTTCCAAACACTGGTTTCCGTAGTGAAAGTCCTGTGTTTTGCGACACATCCACCACCCAATCTGCTTCCTTAGGGGACAGCTTCCTTCTTTACTCCTATCAGCGCATTTGTCACTTAATCGCCGCTTTCTTTAATATGTGGGTTATACAAGTACTACTCGCTCATGATAACATGGGATATGTATAACGGGGTGGGTGCTTTGCTCTTTTTTAGGAAAATGTACAAACAGGTCATGGGAACAACTTACATTGTATAAATCTTCTGTGCTGCAGGTTTGAAGATGTGTGTGAAGCACCCATGTTTTCCAAAAACTAAATTTTATACCTTTTATTTAAAGTTACAATGTTTAATTTACGTGGTTGTTTATTAGCAAATATCAACTATTGCTTTCATAAATATATATTTGCTAAGGTGTAATGCAATACACATACAAATGGAAGCTTTCTCATAGACTTAGAATGATTTCTCTATATATACACAGGCAGGATGCGGTATGCTGGAGGCTGCCCTCTTGCGTCGCCATATTTGAATACAGTGGCCGAAAGGGATATACGCACTTCGCACTTCACATTTGCCTAGAACTTGCCGTCACTGGGGACAGAGAAGGTGAAGATCAATCCAGGGCGCTTCTGCGTGAACCTGCTTTGTACTTTTATGATTCTGTTGCACTTTAAATGGACGACCACACACGTTTTGCCCCGTAAGAGGGAAACCACGCCACCAAATAAAAGAAAAAGATCAGATAAGCGAGGACGGGACAAAACGCCAGTGAATATCACCGTTGCTTATTCCAGGTGGAAAGAACTCCTGTGGAAGAACACTCTGGAAACGCATATATTATAACCAACCTATATTTGCCGCACTGTGCCGTGACTATCACATAAAACATGTTATTTTAGCATTACTGTGTTAATGTTTGCTCGTGTTACCAAAACAATTAGAAATAAAACACTCCTAACATAACGTTACATCTCATAGATAACCTATATGTCACTGGTAAGCTATAACATATTGTAGCGTCCGCCAGGACGTGTGGAAAGGATGACGCAGTTATTCGGCAAACCACCGTTTATTACTAAACAGTACAGGTTACTGTTGGCCGTAACTACGCCAAAACAACCAACAAACAAGAACTTAGCTGTAACTCCAACTGTGCACTCCTGCTCTCTCCTCCAGCTCGCTCATACACACACCAGCACGCGCGCTCACACAGCTCTCATTCCCGTCACACTCGCACCCCGCCCCCCTACCTATAGCCTACTCATTCAATCCCAAACATGCCATTAACTCACAGAACATTGACATTATAACAGAACATTTACTGCAGGGTCCCTACAATATCATAACATGGTTTAGATTCCTAAATAAATATTCACCTCATCGTTAGATAGGCCTACTCCTGAAAAACTCGAAAAACTCGTGGATGGATCTCTGCTGTCTGCGTAAGGCTTTTTATCGTACGAGGCCACCGTCACTTACCCGATGGGAGGGGCGAGCTCTGCAATCTAGAATTTGACCACTGATGTGACTGTTACTCACCATTTACACACTTTTATGGTGAGTCACTGTTACTCACCATTTACACACTTTTTAAGTCTTCACTACATATACTATATGAGTCTGGACAGACATGGATGTAAACTGCAGCTTGACTGGTTGACAGAGGCATTTAACCGCAAGGCGGTAATTCTTTAGCCTGTCAAAGTTTCACATGTGAATTTTACATAAGGTCAGAGGTCCAAAACAATAGCACAGTGTACCAACAAATGAAAGTCCTTAACATTCCATGAAGTTGTCCATAACACAATAACAAAAAAATTCTATGTAGAACATTTTATTGGATTAAGTTCTCTGATCGCACCAACTCCATTGCAATGAATTGATTTTGCCCCATTTTAAATCCTGGTGTGTCCATGCCATAAAACTAAGAGGTAAGAGGAAAGATACTCATTAGAACAGTGGTTCTCAACCTTAATTGTGTCAAAGACCCCTAAAATGATATACGTTAGACCACAAACCCCCATTTGATTAGATCTCGCTTCATTCATCCATAGTTGTCATGTGGTGATGTGATGTAATTTGTCATGAGATAACTTTGAAGGAAGTTAAATCTATGATCTATGATCTGAATTAGACAATTTGGTCGTTATCAGGCCATTACATTGCCATTATCAGTGGTGATAAGTGACATAGATATGGAATGGTAGGGGCCTTCCACACCTACTACCAAGTTGAAAAGGGTTATTATCAAGTCATGAAAGGAAACGTTCTGCCAGAAAGGGGACTGGCCCGGGACTTTCACCAAGGAGACTGGGGCTTAAGTCCCATGTGAAACCAGTATTTATGCTCAACCGTGATCTTTTCAAAACCTATCCACATTGTTTTGGCACCTCAACCTAAGAAAATTGAAACCTAAACTGGTAACAGGCATTGGATGGGCTTGTATCAACCTTCTGAATCTACTGGTAGGTGTAGCAGTCACCTATTCTATGAGGCTTATAACCACAGATAACTTTTATTGAATGGGTTGATAATGGCCTTCTGAATCTACTGACCCATAACTGTGAAGCTCAAAAGCACTGATAACGGCCATTGAATGGGCTGGTAACATCCTGATTGGGAGCCAGAATGGACACTCTTATAACCTTTACTTACACTTCTAACCTCAAGAGTGGAGGGAAAATAAATATTCCCCCATTTTCCTGGGGACACCCTGGGACTCAGTTGAGGACCCCTGGGGGTCCCTGGACCCCTGGTTGAGAACCACTGAATTAGTGCATCTTTAAGTACATGACCGTGATGAAAGGATGATTCCAAAATTTCTTTCTGTTCATTTTCAACTTCTTTTTCTACACACTGATGTAACCACACTAATGTGTCACCCATTATCTTGTTACAGATCAAGCTGAACAGTAAAGGCCTGATCTTCTCTGTGGGGCTCCTGCTGGCATCTGTGTTTATGACTGTGAGTATATGACAGCATGTCCTATCACACATTCCTTTGACAGGTTCTCACCTCTCTCCATGTGTTTGTCTCAGTCTGTCTATTGATCTGTTGACCTGCCCGTCTGTCTGTCCAGGTCCTGGGAGTTCACCTAAACAAGTGGACACTGGACAAGCGCTTGGGTTTCACATGTCTCCTCCTCTACTCCATCTTCCTGTGTTTCTCCTGCCTCATCGAGTACAACATCTTCACCTTTGTCAACCTGCCCACCTGCCGGGATGACTGAAGCACACACACATGCGCGCGCATGCACACACACACACACACACACACACACAGATATTATATGTGCACATTTACACTAGGAGTGATGTTGCAGGGAATTCTAAGTGAAGTATTAAACAGATGGTGGTTTCCGACGATAGAATGCACAAAGTATATTTTAAATCGAAATGACACCAAGCATTATTTCTAAATACCATCTGACAGCAGTCTGATTCACACTCTGTTTTCTGCTTTTATTCTCTTTTGTGAGGAGACGTCCCACTCTGCTCAGCTTTGTTTCTGAAGCCTGTCTTTCTGCTCAGTGCAATATGGAGTTGATGTTTGCTCACGACAGGAGTGTGGGATTGATTTCAGGAGCAGAGAAAATGACTGACTCGTTACAAGCACAGGACAGCACTGAGGACAGCCACAACAACAACAACAACAACAAAGAAGTCTTTGTCCGACTACTGCTTGCTTCTGACGTGAGGACCTTTATTTTGAAACTCCCAGTATTTAGATGTAGAAGTGGTCATGTTTACTAGCTGCTATCCTTTCCTGAGAGGAAAGGCAGGTCTTTTAGATCTACTAGAGAGTAATAATTCTAAAAGCAATGATGTAAATGGATGGGTGGGAGGGTTGTAGGTTAGGGCTGTGGTGCATAATGTTTGAACAGAGTAAGGGTCAGAGTGGAAGTGTTCAGAACAGAATCTGTTATGCAGATGAGCACATTTTCCAAACGCCATTATCTCTATTTAGATTTCCATTATGTTGTCATAATTAAGTCTATAGTTTGCTCAGAACATTTCCACACATACAGCTATAGTTCTTGGGGGAAAGTACCTAAACCCCCCTGCCTGCATAGTATCGGGGCATTATTCAGTCACCTTTTTATAAATTAACTTCAATAGCATCACAGTTGTAGCTTCTATGTTTTGTACTGGAAAGTAATTAGCTTTATGGAGAGTTTTTGTTTTCCTTCTGTAAATAGCGTCCCACTGTACATACCCCCAGATGTCATATTTATTATTTATTCATGTCATACGCACATTTCTCCTCTGGAGGTCACGAAGCACCCGGGCAGGTTTTATTTCTGGACCCGGGGGTTGCTGAAATTCACACCTAAGATCTTTTCAAATGACCACTCGTACAAACAAGCACAATTTCCTCTGAAAGTGTTTGTCTTGTTGATTTGACTTGATTTAGTTCTGTTGTGTGTGTGTGTGGATGTTAAAAACAGACTTCAAACTTGCACTGAAGAGCTTACACTAGCTTCACAGGGAGACTGTAAGTGTTTCTCCTCCTAATGCATGCTGATTATAAGGATAGCATCCTTGTAAAATGAAGCACGTTTGTATGAAATTGTCACGTCTAGGTTTTAACGAGGCAAATGTTGTGTTTTGGGGGGGATTGTTTTGGAGAGGTGTCATTGTCTGCGCTGCCACCTATGGACAGAGACTAATGAACTGCTGCTTTTTGTTTTCTCAAACATACCGACCAAATAGACTGAAAACAGTGGTGGCATTATTTAAAGCAACAGCCGAGCATGTTGGACAAGGTACTTCCTCTCTGGTGGATGGATGTCCTGCTTCACTCCTCTGTGTTCTCAAAGAGGAAGTGAGGTATAAATGTGGTAGTATTGTAGGAGTAGAGTAATGATGCAATATAAAGCATCAGGACTTTTATCCCAGCTCTAATACTTCAAGGTTGGGGTTTCAACTTATTTTTATCCAGGAGTTCTTTGTATTTTGTAATGCCTAATGTCTAGATTTGTCCAGATATAGTAGGTTTGTGGTACATAAATATTCCTACTAGTTTTTAGAGCATGTACAATGTGGTTCGTGAACCCTCCGGGGGATTTTTATTCCACTGCAGGAATCGAGGCACGCCGGCAAAGTCACACTATTCCTCAAAGACTTCTACCACTGTAGAAATGAACACTTTGCCTGTCAGAGCCTGTTGATTCTGACGGTATCCATCAAAATGTCAGCTGTTCCTCCACAAAGGTTCATTTGAAATGTCATGTGTTCTACTCATTTTTTTTATTCATTGATGGAAGACAATTGCTAAAACACAACTACGTCTAATTTTTTTCAGGTACATTTTTAATTTATTGATCAGTAATATAAACTATCAAATCAGAGAAATATTGTCTTTCGAATGTACAAATAATTAATTTTGTTTGTTGTTGTTTGTAAATCATACATATTTATTTATTTCAGAGACACAGGCAGAGTATTCTGTGCTATGACCGGAAAACAGGGTTTAAATGTTTTGAGTCTCATGTAATGCAATAACTATGAGCTTACAAATATGTAAATATACCGCTTTAATGATCAAAGACAAATTTATAATAGAGTTTAACATGATGTATTCAAATAGTCAATGATGTCTTTCAATATGTGACACTGTAACAGCATTGTTTATGAAGTGATTTATCAATGACTATACACAATCAAAACCGGACTGTTATTCATATACTGAGCCCTACAACTTTAAACATTATCATGGTCAGTTCAGCATAATCACATTAATGGTACGCTGATTGTTACAATGGTCATCAGATACTGTAGATTCTAGTTACAATATCTGCGTAAATGGAGACCCTGATATTTAGAATCTGAGGTAGTCATTTTCTTCATCACTTTAAGCATGTCTTGTAAGGACAGAAATGTTACTGTACCTCAGTGATCAAAGACACAGCTTTTAAGTGTTTTCTTTATAAGTCCCATCTTTCCTGGCAATTTCCCTCATAGAACTATGTAATGTGGTTCTAATTATAGAGAAAATAGAGAAATATATAGTACAAAGTACATAGCTCATATCGGGGAACTGTTACATAGGTGTATGGAGTTTACAAGCAGTTGCTGATGTATAAGAATATATGGAAGCCCATTTCCACCAGAAAAAGAAAAAAAAACATTAAATGTAACAAAAATAAAAATAATCCTCAAAGTAATATAATACTGAGTCAGTGTTTGAATTTGTAAGTTACAATTATGAGCTTTAACAAAGTTGACATCATGAGATAGTAAGTCAAATTTATGAGGTAGTCAAAAATTTGAGAATGCGCTAAACTGATGCCAAATAATGAAATACAAAGTTGAAATTATGATATATTTTGACTACATCATTATTTTGACCTTGATGCTATGAGAGACCATTTCTGTCACAAAAAAACACAAAACAAATATTAAATGTTACAAGATTAAAAAAAAAACAAAAAAAAAGTATTGGTCAAGGTAATACTGAGTCAAAAGTTTGGTGGGTAAGTCACAATTATGAGCTTTAACAAAGTTGACATCATGAGTTAATAAGTCAAAATTATGATGCAGTCAAAAATTTGAGAATACATTGAATGACTTTTAAGCCACATAATAGAATACTATGTTGATATTAATATATTTTTGACTATATCGTAATTTTGACTTTGAATATATGGAAGCCCATTTCTGCCAAAAAAAAGGAGAAAAAAATATAAAACATTAAATGTAACAAAAATAAAAATAAGTATTAGTCAAAGTTATGAGATATTCAGTCAAAAGTTTGACTTTGTAAGTTAAAATTATGACCCTCAGGGGCGTCAGTGGCTTGGTGGTAGAGCAGGCGCCCCGTGGCCCTTTGCTGCATGTCACTCCCTCTCTCTCTCCCCCCTTCACGCTCATCTGTCCTATCAATTAAAGGCTTAAAAATGCCCAAAAAAATATCTTAAAAAAAAAGAAAAAAAAAATGTATGACCCTCAATAAAGTAAACATCATGACATAGGTCAAAATTATAAGGCAGTCAGAATGGTTAGTATGGAAGTCAAAACTTTGAAATACTAAGTTGAATATTAATATTTTTTGAGTATGTCATAATTTTGACATTGATGTATGGTCTGAATCTGCCAGAAAAAGAAGAGAAAAAAAAATACAAAAATAAAACTAATTTAGTCAAAGCACTAAGATCCTGACTCAAAAGTTATACTTGGCAAGTCACAATTATGAGCTTTAACAAATAGTAGGGCAAAATTATAAGGTAGTCAACATTTTGACTTTTATGCAAATCATGAAATCAAAATTAATATATTTTTGACTATGTCGTATTTTGACTTTGATTTTGGCTAACCCAATTTCTTTTATTATTGAGTATTATAATTTACCCTGACTGAGTATTTTTAAAAATCAAAATCACAATATTATTTTGAATAAATGATGTTTGACTTTCAAAGTCATGAATTTGATTCAATCAAAATTTTGACATAGTATCTTAAAATGTTGAATTACTTGGAGTTATTTCATATTGTCATTCCTATCATTGCATTTTTTTTCCTGGCAGAAAAATGGGCTTCCATAAATTATCTGAAAGAACAGCTAATATCTTAATGAATGCAAAGCCTGACAGAGATCCATCAATCCTAAGTAAAAATTCCTTTATAAATGAAAACTAAATGAAACGTATATTATATTAAACATATGCTTGCCTTTGACAAATTAAGCATTTTTGCATATTCACCTGACCTGATGTTCCTTACTTTCAGACTTAAGGCTAAGCTATATTAGCAGTATTGTTGGAAATGTACCAACCTGAGCACAGTCTTTGTTTTAATTATAACTTTTCCAAATTACATAGTTTACATAGTTTAGATCAGTTATTTCCAGGAAAATGTTAGGAAATCATGGGACCAATGAAATAAATTGTATCTCTCTCAAATCCCCAAATGCTGATGACTGTTGGTTTTTGGAAAATCAACACTGTTCAGTTTGAAATCATCAACAGTTGGTGCTTTTAATGACGTGGAGAAGTGGATCTTTAAGCATGTGTACTGTAGCATTCCTAGCTTGGATCAGTATCTATCACTAACCACAAGCTCATCTCTGCTCATTCTTGGTAGGGTGACTAAGATACAGATATTTACACTACAGTACATCACACACTATGCTGGCTGTTGGAAGAAAAATCACTGAAATCACTCAGTCGTCCTTTAATGTTTGAAGTATTATCACTATCTGTATAGCCCAGGGCATTTTTCCCACTTCATCATATTTATCAGAAAATATCTGTAGCATGCACTTTACCATTTAACAATTGATGCTACAGATTATTTGGTTCAATACATTCTGTGCTGCTATTTACCTGACACCTAAACAAAGGGTACTATGTCTTTGAAACTAACTACCACAAAGATGCTCACATTTTGAAAAAAAAAAAGCGTCTTGTAGAGGAGATTTCTAAATAATTTGTGATATTCACATGGGTGATATTGCTGATGTACATATGTATATAGATAGGTGTAAATGTATTTATATATTTTTTGTCTCAATCTGTATATCTGTTGAATATATTTTCATAGATCCTAGGTCTCCCTTGTACCCCCTTTGATGTGTTTGAGACCTCTAAAACTATTGTCCTTTGTTTATTTGCATGGAGATATTTCAATATAATAAATTATTTATGGCAAATCTTAATGTACTTTGGGATGAGAGTCCAATGAGTTTTTAGATGACACTGGATTTAGTTTGAACTGGATATCCTAGGGGACTGCATGCTGTTGCTAGTACAGGATATGAGATGGAGAGTGAGAGCATTTGCAGACGATACGTTTCTCTACATGTCCAAGCTTGACCTCTTCATACACAAGAAACTTTTCAACAGAATGGTTTACTTTGTGTTTAGATGTTTCAAATGTAATTATAGAGATAATTTTGCTACCTGAGCATTAATAAAGTTGTCTTTGCTTAAGGTAACACAAGCCTTGTCCTGTAGTAAGATTTTATTGGACTTACAAACTCACACATGCATGCAGAAACTTAACAGGCTGACCAGTACCTTTATATTTATCCTATAAATGGACTGCATTTATATAGCACTTCTGCATTGAATCAATGGATTACACTACCCTGAAGTATATAAAGTAGTTAAAATGACCTCCGCCTTTATCAGTTTCAACATCAAAGGAATGTACAATGATTATAATATAATAATATATTATTCTGCAAAGCGCTATTCTGCATTATAAGTATTTACCTTTTGTACTTTTGATTTTGTATATTTTGATGCCAATACTTTTGTACTTTAACTTAGGTAAGAGTTTGAATGCAGGACTTTTACATGTACTTAAGTCTTTTTAGATGGTGGTGCTGCTATTTTTACCGAAGTAAAAGATCACAGTACTTGTTCCACCACTACTTTCTTTTACACAGTTTAGTTTTTCCCATGCTCCTGTCATGTTTAAGACAACAAATCAGTTTACAGACAATGTAACTGAACATTTAACTCAATGAAAAACAAACAAAAAAGGCACACAGTTTCTAAGATATCTAGGGCTGTGTTGGGGAAGGAGTTTCAAAATCCTGGCTATGACCCTGAGTTAAGGTGAATTACTCTGAAGCCAGTAGAGATGGGAGGAGAGTGACAGCTTGAGTAACACCATTTAAAGATCAGCACTCAGCAGGTGATTGGTGAGTGACAGGTTTTGAGCTTGGATAGTGGACAGACAGCCTCGGAAAGTTAAAATGATGGTCAGGTTAATAAATATGTGAACAAATATAGGGAACATTGTGATAGAAATTAAAGTGAACCTTCACAAAGGCATCATTCTCTGCTTTCATATTAATTTATAATAACTTTTAGCCAAGTCACCAAAAGATAATGTTGGAATTGTACTTTTCTGCAAACCACAGATATACTACACTTGTACATTATATCATATCAATGTTTGTTAAGTGATGTAGTATATGAGCTGAACATGTCATCAGGAGGTGGAGGGGGTGGTGAATGGGCGAGACATCTGCCAAGTTGCAGACCACCAATCGAGATGAACAAACAAACAAACATGGCTGTTTTTAGCGACCTGTCACTGTTTGTCCACTTGGGATAGCAGTTGTTTTTTACCAAGATACCGTTGCATTTCCAGCAGGGATTGTGTCCCCAGGACTGGGTATTATAGGCCAAAACAGGATCTCTTCCTAATCATAACAAGTGGTTTGTGCCTGAACCTAACCACACATTAACCACAGTGTCACTGAAATGTACATTATAAATGAACAGTACATGTATCTGTGGTTTACAACGCCATCATTTTTTCTGGTGATTGAGTTGTCATTTCAGAGTCTGAGGGCCAAACATCATGGACAACACCTATCATCCCCTATATGAAGCTCTGAGGTCCTTCAGTGACAGACTGCAGTCCCTGCTGCTGTCACACTACTTAACCATTACTGTACTCATTGGAGAAAAACTCAACATACATAATTTCCATCGAGCCAGGTTTCATTTAAGAGTCTGAGCAGTGGCTGATTTACACCTGGGATAATAACAAGACACAAACAGCACTCTGAACCACTGATACAGTGTGGAAATGTGAGGTGTGAGCCCCATCTAGTGGTGAAGTACTGCTACAACAGGGCTCCTGAGAAAAGCTTTGATCAACACAAACACAAAGTCAGGCATGTTATTCCATTTCTAACATTTATTAAGTGCAAAAGAATATTTTTTTTATATCATTCAATGACATATAATGAACAGGAAGATGTCTCCTGGATGCAAATGACATTTTGACACCATAAAGAATATTATAGACATGGTAAAGCCATCTGTGAAAAATCCCCGCACAGAGACATATAAATAGTCACTTAATCAAAGAAAGTTAGATTTCCAATAGCATGGCAGTACAAGTCAATTCATCTTTGAACACTTGGCCCCCAGAGATAAACACGGTGAGCTCTGTACAGGTTATACTGACCATACATGACATTAATGCCAGTCGACTCCTCCAACACCTCTCAGGTTCCCTCTCTACTGACCACACCTCACACATTTAGACCTCATGATGCTGTAAAATGGGAATGAATGGAGTGTTATAGTTCAACACACTCAGTAAATAAACAGCACATTAATTTGATTTTCCATCTACTGGAACCTTTAAAATTCACAAGAAAATTTCAAGTATTTTTTTAACTGACATCACCAAACTCAATACTGATGTAGACTATATTGCAGAGCGAGCCCATCTCAGTAACATTCTCTCTCAGACCAGCTTTGAACTTCGCACATCCTTTCTATAACTGACCACAGTGTGTTTTTTTCACCAGGATAAAAACCTTAAACATTTGTCAGTAGTACAAAGCTTTGTAATATGGCAGCCAGTCTTTCCTCCATCACATATTATCAGAATCTGAATGGAAAAGATGCCCCTTAACAAGCAATAGATATCAGGTATGATACAGTATCTTTCATATCACCAGGATAATCAGTACATACATAAATGAACGTTACATGTTTTAAACACTGGCAGACCTGCCTGTATCTAACATTACACTTAAACTACATGCAATAACAAGTATTTACACATTTTAAAATGTTAATCCTTGTCATATAAAAATGCCATATTATATATTAAACCCTTCATTGATAAAGCCAGGGTCTGTCTGAAATATGCTACTTTATGCCCAGGAAATGCTGCATGTGGCTCATCAGTAGATCTGATAAAGAAATAGACTGTTATTTGATTATCATCCATTGTAAAATGGAAACAGAAAATGAGGCTTGTTTGACTCCAACAAGTTAACAGAGAAAATGCCACATCTTGTCTGTCTTTTTTCCTTGTCTGCACACTTTTGGCAACAAAGTTTTTCTGACATTATGGAGCATTTGCAGCTTGGCGACAGCAATGGTTAAATTTGAAGGGTTACACATGTTGGCCTGTAGCTTTGCTACTTCTCAGTTTAGTAGTAGGACAGGCACTATGCTTTACCACATCGAGAACAAAGCTAATAAGGTGTACATGCTACACTCGTCAGCTAGCTGCTCTGCACTGTGCACCAGGTGGGTTGGGTGGGAGCTAGCTAGCAGTGCCGCAACACCGCATGTTGCTGTGGATACATGGTGGTTACCCTACGGTCTCCCAGTCAGGTTGCCCTGGTGAGTAAGCGTCTAATGTTCAGCCGCAAAATCCCTTTAGCACTATTAACCACTGTTAGCTCTGTCAGCATCAATGCCAGCATCAGCATAACTAGTGGTGTTAACATACCTTAGTAAACAATGCTACTGATTTTTGCAGCTCAAAATAAGAAGTGTGTCTCAAATCACATACTTCTGTACTAAACACTAAGCACTTTGAGTGCACAAGTGCGCTGAGTGTGTTCACACTGCATAGTACGGGAAAATGCAAAGTACTACTGGCGCAAAATGGTTTAAAAGTTAAGTGTGGAATCATGGACACTTCTCACCCTCCACTGCATCACAAACTTCTTAACTTTTGACATGGCGGCTGGAGACAACAAGCCTGAGCTGGCTACAGTGAACACTGCTGCATTATACAGATGTAAATTGTGCATGTTTTTTTACACTAAGTTCCAATACTGTTGTCAAACAGAAGCCGTGAGAATTGTTTGTTGGGTCTGTAATGAATTTGGAGATAGCAGTCAAGTGTTGGTGATAATGCTCCACCGTCTGTTTGCAATTTGCTGTTTCAAAAGAAGACAAAGAAGAAGAAGAGGCAGTTAAAAAAACACAAGGCTGTTGTCACTTCCAGTAAGTAAAAAACAGCAGAGCGTAAGATGCGACATTAGGCTATGTGTTGAAACTAGTGCACCATGCAAGAAGTACATAATGTAGTACACTTCAGTGTAGTACACTAACGAAAGCACGTGATTTGAGACATACTCGCTGACTGAGTCGCTGACTCACCTGGGGCGACCCACGGGAGACCAAAGGATGGCCACCATGTTTCCACAGCCATGCTGTCCTGCCACCATGAGTAAGGACATTACTGGCAATCACAGAATGAGCAGCACTAGCTCCCTCCCACCCGATCTGGGCTCGCTATACAGTGGAGACCAGGAGCAAGTAGGCACCATGTTTCTGCAGGTTAATGCAGCTAGCTGGCCATGTGTCAGCAAAGCCAACAGAAAATAAAAGGCAAAACATGAGCATCATAAAACATCAAAATCTCATCACCTCTAAATGAATACCAGTTTGAAATGTGACGCTAAAGCTCACTGAGTCAATGGTGCGCTGGATTAAAAGGAAAGTGCCTCTTGTTTTTAATGTCATTTATAATTTTTTTTTCTTCAAAATACCCAGTTAGTAATCGGTTAATGGGTGTACGGCTTTTAAAAGCAAAATTAAGTGTCATCCCTAGTTTGCATTGTGGGTAATGGAGGCAACAGCTTTTGACAAGGACATGTGGAATAAAAAAGGTACTATCTCTGGTTCTATTCACTGATTTTGATCCTTTTTCAAAAACTGTCCAGCGTGAGTCAAACAATGTTATGGAAGTGCAATGCTAAATGGATGGCGTACTCTTTTAATGCCTGCTGGCTTGTTAAGGTTCTATCTGTACAGCTCTTTTTCTTTTAATGAGAAGTAGAAAATCTAGTTGTAGATTAGTTGCTGCAAAGTGCTGTTTCCCCCTACAAGCCATACATATTCAGTTTCCAACACAACTCACACAGTATGTGTGTGTTTGCTACCACCAATAGCCATTTACTGTGTAAACAAGGTTCATATTTAATGTTCATCAATGAATCTGGAGTTAGAGGCTGCAGCATAGATTTCATATACCTGGATTATCTTCTAATGTGCGTTGGAAAATCATTTTTAACTTTGCTACAGCACTTTATATATAATTTTTTTTACATTACACGTTTTCTTCAGATAAATGTTGTTGCAGTAAGGCGTATTGTTGAATTCTTGCTGTGTGCACCAGCCACCACTGGGTGTCGCCAAACCCGTCAAAACATAGAAACAATCTAAAGGAGAAACAGTTTCAAAACACAAACAACATAATAACAGTTTACCAGCAACTGTACCATGAGTAAAACAAAGTTATAGCTATCACCTAAATAAACAATGCTGTAAATTTAAAGTGATTGATCAAAGATTAGTCTCACATGGATCTGATTTCTCTCTATATACCCTAAAGGTGACAACAACAACAGGTTACCCTGAATCTGTATGTGAAGCACCAGCATGAAGGCAGGACTGTGAACACACTTTAGTGTTCATTATCTCCGATATCACTGCTTTAACCATGTGTTTAGACTTTGAGAGTGTTGCTCGGATACCAAATATAGAGCTGAGGAAATAAAAAAAACCTCTCATTTCCTTCTCTCCTTTCTTCTTTTCCTCTTTCACCCATGTCTGTCTGACAGAACTTTCCAGCGAGGGGATGTTGACTGAGACAGACGTGCCATCCAAAAGGAGAAGTCTTTGCAAAGACTGGCACGACACAGTGTTTTGCCCAGTTGAACCCTTTATGGAAGCATGTTTGTTAGAGATAATGGGCGATACTGTCACGGCTGGGAGACAAAGACCCCGTTCAAACTTCCAGTCGGCCGTGCTGTTCCAGTCATATAGATATAGAGTTGCCATTGAGGTGGGTGGGTGGCAGGCTGAGGCTCAGAGTGGGACTGAGGCCTGAGCTGAGAGCGGGCCGGAGGGAGGGGGCTGACAGGTCCATGCTGAGGTCATTCAGGTTGGCCTGGGGGTCAGAGGTCACGGTGAGGTCGTTGAGGTTGGGCGTAACATTGAGGGGAGCTGACGAGGAGGTGTTGCTGTTGGCTATGCGGCGGAACACTAAGTGGAAGGGTGTAGCCTGTGAGCGGCTGTGGAGCTCAGCCTTGATCTTCTGAGGGTGGGTGTCTGGTGCCAGCTGCTGGCTGCTGCCCTCCATCAGCAGGAACAAGCCGTAGTTCTCAGGGTCTGACACTTTAAACTTCTGGGCACACAGCTGACACACCTCCTCCACTGTGGCATAAGGTCGAACCTGGAGGGTTTTGGCTGTACAGCCGCTGTCCAGCTCCTGTAGCGCCACCCGCAGGTAGTTCTAAGGGGGGCGGTCAGAAAAGAAACTGTCAGACAAACATTTCAGCTCTGATCACAATTTCCAATATAAAAAAAGCCCAAATCCAGGTGTGTGACTTTTTTAATTCTAAGAATGAGCTATGTCAACATTACTGATGTGACAGCTGTAAAATTAAGGCAAAGTATGACTGTGCTTCTACCTGGAAGTCATCAATGGAAGGTGCAGAGCGTAGGGTGGTGCGTCGGCGGTGCCACTGATGCAGTGTGTCTCTTGTTTCAGAACTCAGCACTCTGGCTGCCTGCTCCTCCTGGAAATTTTTGATCAGGGACATAGCTCCATACGCGCTGGTCAGGTAGTAGCCACCTGGACAAACAGAGGCAGAAGGTAAACAATGTGTACGAAGACGGTCAAAAGAAAATATTCTTTTCTGTGGGGTGATTATGGTGGAGGTTTAAACAGACCTTCTCCATGCAGCAGAGAGGGGTCCAGCAGCTCCATCATGTAAAGGATCTCGTTGTCCAGCTGGGGCATGTCGCACTGGGCCAACACATAAGTTAGCATGGGCAGGAAGTCATCAGCACCATACAGACGACCTGAGAGGCAAAAAGAGCAGGCAGGTGACATCCTGCACTTTCACTTTCATCATCTGACATCTTTTATACATCTTACATTTTATTAAATGGCTTGAGGATTTTTTATATTAAAGAAAACTGGCAGAATATTCTGATCTCTACCTGAGTTGTCCTCCATGATGGTGTAGATGAGTTTGCAGACTCTCAGCAGCATGGTGACCTTTTTCTCTGGGGAGTACAGTTTACTCATGGTGTGGAACTTGTGCTTGATCTTCTCTATGGCCATGGGGTCCGGGGGCAGTGTGTCGGCCACGCCCATTTCCTGTGGCTGCCGGGCCTTTGCCAATGCTAGGTTCTCTTTCAGCTCCTGCCACTCCCCTCTGCGTACCTGGAACTCCTGCAGGGCCACACTCACTACCGGTTTGAGGGGCTTCAGGACGCATTTGTGCATGGCCTTCTCCAGGACTAGGTCTGGGCAGAGGAGGAAACAGGTGAGCTTCACATCAAGCTACTGACTCTTTTTTAAATGTAATATTGTCCATGCTTTTGGTAGAATTTTGGAAAAACAAAACAAACAAAAAAAACAAAATGGCAACTTCATATGAACTTTTTCCAGATTTTATTGTAGCCAAAGCCAACTGAAACAAATTATATAATGCCAGACAAACAAAACAATATTTTTCATATTAATAAAATAGTTGTACCTAGCCCCAGTTTGTGCATCTCATGTATTACAGGTAGATTTGAGCCCCAGAGCCATGCGTCAGTTTTATAAATAAATAATTATACTGTTTGCTGTACAGTAAAACAGTTTTAACCCCAGCAGAGGGATTTTTATTTATCCAGAAGACTCTTGAAGTATCAGATAATAGCACTGTAGAATAGTCCATAGATCACTCTGACTACTTGTATTCCCACCTCTGAAGACATGTCTGCTAGGCTGACTTGTGATCTTAAATTGTTTATTATTTATGTGTCAGTATTCAGCCACATGTTTGTCTATCTGTCTACTGTCAGTCTACTGTGAGGTCATTACATTTCAGAGCACAAACCAGGTAAATGTTAACATCACATTCCTTAGTGGTATTGTTAGTCAGGACCTACAAGCTCCCTGGAGATGGCCATGGTGTAATCACTACTGTTGGATCAATACTCATGTGTGAAACCCAAGATGTCATTGTTTACCATCTGTATACATCAAAGTTCATGGCAGCTGGAAGTGTTGTTGTTGGAGCAGAAGAATCCAGATTCCACACAGCGACAGTGTCAACACCAGCTTTTACAAGCTCAGCTGTGCAGTCCCACCAACACCAACCATGATATCATAATACAGACAGGATGGATACAGAGAGGGAGGCCAAACCACAGCACTGCTGAATAAGGACCATGTGTGCATGCTGTCTTTGTGTGTGTGTGTGTGTGTGTGTGTGTGTGTGTGTGTTGCTGATTTTCCTCCAGAAAAAGGTGAAGTCAGCAGTTTTTTTGGCTGAGCACATCTACAAACACACATTTTACTTTTCACCACAGCCTGATGGCATCCAGTGGCTGCTATTCACAACAATCAGTCTGTCAGTAACTATGAGTTGTTGCTGGTCTTACTGGAAAACTTGTCCACACCCACATTACTGCTACCTGCTGATACCTCTGCTGGAACCAAACCAGACTGCACATTCTCACTTCCTCATTCTGCAGCTACACACTAATAAAGAGCTGCCAGTAAGTAGGCCGCCCAGCATGTTGAACCCGCATCAGCACAATTAGAGATGTTTTTTCTGCTACACAGATTATGAGACTGAGAGGACTTGTTGGTCTTTGTCTTTTAATTTTAGTGTTCCAGGATGAGACTTTCTTTGACTTCATGGTTTTCAGTTATTTTGGATGAAGAAGACATCGTGTTTAATTGGAAACAACCATCTTCCTACCATTTTATATTCCCCCTGACATCCTGACACTCCACTTTCACTGAGAGACAACAATGTGACAGAACAAGATTTGAAAGGGAAATAAAATAAACAAAACAAATATTTTGTGCTGTGATTCCTGGCACAACCTGAACCAAGTACAAGGAACAAACAAATGTTTTAACTCTCAAACTCTTCCTTCTTTAAAGGACTACAGTGAAAAAAATAATCAGATTCAAGACAAGATATTCAAGACAAAAAAGCTAAACAATAGTACCAGAGCTGCAACTAACCATTTCATTAACTAATCTGCCAGTTTCTTTGCTTCTTCAATTGATTTTACATCTGATTTATAAAATGTAAGAAAATAATGAAAAATGCCCATCCCAATTTCCAAAAGCCCATTAAAGTTTATGTCTTCAGAAGTCTTGTTTTGTCCAGCCAACAGTCCAAAACCCAGAATAATAATAATAAACTATAATACAGAACTGAAAAAAAGCATCTAATACTCACATTAGACAAGCTGGAGCCAGTCAACTGTGAGCACATTTGTTTTAAAAGTTACTTAAATAATGAAGCAGAATAACTCATGACAAGAAAAATCTAGCTGTAGCCAAGTGGCAACCTTCAGAGCAGAAAATGAAGCCAACGCAGTTTTTCTTAATGGCCATTAGGCTGGCACTGACCTGAAAGACACTGTAAAGATGAGCAACTGGGGAGACAAGGAATCGTGCGCCCTCCTTGCCCTCGCAAACGAAGATGTCATTTACCGTCAAATGACGGGAACGGTGAAGGACGGGCCAACTTATGAGAGAATTGCCGAAGGACTGACCAGCCGCAGCTTCCCTCGGAGTATATTGCTGTTTGCATCACACGCTGAGCTACACATTTGTTACTTGCTCACGCCCCCCATTGCCCCGAAATAGGCGCATTCTGTATGAATAAAAGTAGGCAGGCGGCATTTTGCTGCACTCCCCGATTTTGTTTTTATACTGCCAATGCTGAACGAAGACTGATTGGGCTTTCCTGCAAATTTGCACAATTCCTATTTGAAAAGGGCTAGTGATGGCCTGAATGATGAAAGAAACTAGTAATTTGAAGTCTTGAATGCACAGTATGCATCTTTTTGGCTTAACAACAAAGATACCTCTTATTTCTTGCATTTTCTTTTTCACCTAATACTTCTCTTAGACTGTGTCTCCCGCAGCTCAATAATCACTGGACTCCCCACGGGTCTGTTACAGTGATTAAAAACAGGGAACACATTGCCAACATTCCTCACTGTGGGCAAAAATTTAAGAGCTCTGTTCATGTCATTCTAAAGGAGAGAAAATTCCAGATTTACAGACAGACAAATTAGCCTCCTCAAAGAAAAGTAAAGAGTGAGTGCTGACCCCCTTCATGTTTCTGTGTCCTGCTCTAGCTTCTAAGTGAATTCATGTATCTATCTTACATGACACTGTGACTTCACCATGTCTAAGTCACAGTCTGCCTTGTGTTGCACACATACAGATGGTAGGAAACAGAGGAGACAGTCTGCTTAAGAGCAACTTATCAGTCAAGGTCAGCCAAAACAGGCGATCAGACATAAACACACACCTCTGGCAACAAAACAGGGCCTCTTCCCGCTTCATATAAACATCCTCTCGACCCTCTTCTGGCCTTGAACCAAGGGAATTTCAACATTAATGTTCCTCCCCCATCAATGTGCATTTATGGTCAAGGACTGTGATGTTTTTACCTTTTTTACTGTAGTTTTGAGTTTCCTTGTCATAGTCACCTTTAATGATCATTCTCCCAATGATTTAAAAAGTAATTTTATTTCCTGTGTGCCAGAGGATTTTTTTACCTGATGGACACCAAGCATTCAGAACGAAGCTTTATGAAAAGGCCGTATTCACCAGGTCTCTGTAATCCATTTCTGGTCAACACTAAGCAGACAGAATCTAAGTAAAAACACATCAAACCCACACCCATATACATGTGAACACACACCAAGTGGCAGAGACATGTGGACAATGAGACCGTGTCTCCTTAAAGTAAAAACAGCCTGTTGTTATCAGAAGGAGAGGTGTGTCTATCTGTGCTTTCACTGAACCAAGAAGCTCTCCTGATAGACAGGTTGCTTTCTTCCTGCTTTGAGAATATACATCTTAAAAATAGCCTTTGTACCGATCCTTGAATCATACACACAAGCAGGTCGAGGGACAAGTTTTTAGAGGTTCCCATATTAATCAAGCCAACTGGCAAAGAATAAAAGCAAGGAAGCATCTTACATCTCAACTTCTACTACATGGATTGGAGTGATTAGAGTAATTATCAAGGCCTTGATGAAAGAAGAAGAGTTCTGACTTCACTCTTTTCTTTCTGGGTTGTTATTGGGAAGCATTTAGATTCAAGCTACCATCTGAGACCATCTAACAGAAATACAGCAAAGCACCAGAGGGATGTACAAAGAAGTGAGATTAGTGGGTTATAGAGGTATGTTGAGCCTGAAGCCAGAGTTTTCATGTTATGAAAGTGGCTCTCTTTTAACCTAGCTTGATCACCATGGTAACTTATGATGCACATCTGACCTGGTCTGGAGCAGGTTATGTTGAAAGCGCCTTCCACTAATCACCTTTGGGAATAGTGTTGCCTTTCTTCAAATATCCAGTGGATCCAGGTGACAGGATTGTATGAGGTAGGGATGCATGATATTGGATTTTTGTTGATATCCGATATGCCAATAAATAACTACTAATTTGGCCAATAGCCAATACAGATACATCCACTTTTCTCCCCAACTAATTTCATTGATCATCAAGTCTCTTCTGCAGTAGAACTTACTATCACTATTGTGATGGCCCACCAGCAGATGGAGACATGAAAGGCTTGAATGCTTTACTTTTCAATGTATGTAATATTCATTCATTGTGCAAAATAAGAAAAACCATGTTGGCCAATTCTGATAGATCATTTTAAAGCCAACACCAGCCAGTACCAATAATGTGCTGATATAATCGGGCATCCTTGGTAAGAGGTTCTCTTCAGAGGGAGAGAATGTTTAGTGATCGAATAGATCCGTTGTTTTTTCGGGTCCATGTCATTGGTTCGACAGCCCATTAGTCAGACTGTCCGCGGTGCTGAATGGCTCACGGTGGGTGTGTGGTGCGCCGCGACCGGCTTGAGGCAGAGCAGGCTCACGGCTTATGTGTTTGTCACTTTCTTTTTCATTTTAACCCACACCATGATCTTTTCCTGACCCTAACCAAGTGGTTTTTGTGCCTAAACCTAACCAGACCTTAACCACAGGGTATCATGATGATTTCGGAACAGACTTCGGAACAATGAGTTTAATATGGTCGGAACAATGGGATGTTGAACCAATGGGCTGTCGAACCAATGGGTAGTTCCCGTTTTTTCCTGACGATATTCTCTATGAGTCATACACATTAGAAAATGAATTAGTGTGTTAGTATTTATCACAGATAATATTCAATCACTAAAATTCATTTCATTTTGATATGGCCAAAAAGTGATTTCCACCTAGGGCAGAGCGATGTGTTAAAAATCAAATATCACAATATTTCAATATGATATTGTTACAATATTGTAGGGTTGACTATTAGTGCTTTCACTAAATATTTACACAATGACATTTTTGATAGACTGATATATTTTTGCAGCCTTTAAAACCAGGAAAATACAATGCGTACGATACTACAATATCCAAAATTGATGACTATATCTAGTCTCATATCACAATATTGATATAATATCAATGTACTGCCCAACCCTATGTCACGTATCCTTCTTGTGGAACAATCTCACACAATATGTCAAATTTCATAGTACACCACATAGGTCTTATCCAGCCCTTGATGTAATTATAACACATGAATAATTGGTGAAGCACCACAAACAGAGCTTCATGACGTCGTGTCATCTCAGGCTATCGCAGTGTGGGATGAGTGGAGTACAAGGAACTCTATTCTCCCCTCACCCTGCCTGAACATCCTGGACCCAAACACACACATGGTTGGGTTGCTGAGTGAGTGCTAGAGGGGAACAACAACAACAACATCTTCCACATTTGAAACTCTGTGACTGCCTCCCCTTAATATCTGTTTTAATATCTATTTGTTGTTTTCTTTGTTTCTAAGTGACCTAGAAATTTGCTTATTGTAGCTAAAGCTGCATTACTTTTCCTGGTATTTAGGGTAGTGTTATAAATGACCATACTGTGCGAGAAAACAACCACCCATCCGTAATTTACATTAAACACTGAATGAAAGCACTAACAGTCATACCAAAATACTAGTACACTACTTCAAAGCAAGGAGAGTCTAAGATAGACAGAGAAAACAAAAACACAGAAACCATGAAAAAAATACGAAGAGAGTGTCAAAGAACGACAGCGTGAGACAGAAAGTGGAGGGGGCTCGCCTCAAATCCTCTCACTCTGATTGGATAGCTAATTTGAAAGAACTGGAGTTGGAGTAAGACAGAGATTGTCCGACTTGGCAGACAGTCACCCAAATCCATCTGGGCCGGCCGGCCTTGGAGCTAAACAGAAAACACTCTGAAGCTGCCACAACAAAATGTTGTGCAACTATTCCAAGAACTGAAACCCATGCAGTTCCCACTGTGTCATCCCTGTGAAAAACAGGTCATTCAGAAAAACAGCCAGCGCCACACGCAACACCCAAACATGAAAAACAGATATCTTCAGTTTTTTGGCTTCTTCTTTTTCTTTACTTCAGAACTTATACTATTGGTAGTTGCCAATCAAACCTAAAACTTTTAATATCTGATGACCTACTTATATTTTTATATTTCATTTGGGGTATTTCATGTTTTATTACTATGGGTCAGGCTGCAAAAACACTGGATCCTACATTTTTAAATGCAACTGGGTAGTCTTACATTAGACTTTGCCTGCTTGGTAAACAACATCTTTTAAACTTTACACCTTCTGTCTGTAATGCAGCCTTTCTCGAAAGAATTTTAAATCTGAAGCACGGCCTAAGATGACACTGACATAATCAGGGTTTTTTTATGACTTTGGAAAGCTCCCTTCAGAGTCACATAAGGCATCACACAACTGCTTTCACTGCTTGCACTCCTCCATAGGAGTAAACTAAACTTAAGTGTATATTTGTTGAACTGCCCCTTTAATAAAATGTGCTTTAAAAAATCACATAACAGATGCTGACATTTTATAAGTTGAGTAAAAATATAGTTTTAAAATATAACTAGAAATTAAAAAGCTGTCAAAGAACTAGCTTGAAAATGTAAAATGTTGGCATTTAAGATTAGTTTTCATGTTATGTGATGAATGCTGATAAAAGAGATTTTCACCCATTTCTTGACTTCATAATTATATCCCTGTGGTGAACTATTTGAATGGGGCCAGTAGAAACAGGTTGGTTTAACAGCCCCCTTCCTCCTCAGATAAAACCCTCTTTGTGCTCTCTGTTTACATGCCACTCTGTCCAAGGTCTAATGCAGCCACTGAGTCTTGGCCTAAATGACTCAGACCACTCTTCCGGCAGGTGTGTGTGTGTGTGTGTTCCTATGTATCTATGTGGTTGGGCTTGGTCCGCCTTTCATATTGCTGTCATGGTATTGTCGGATATAATAAAGGATGGATATAATAAAGAGCAATAAAAGGGAAGTGCAAATGTTAGTATTGGACTATAAAAGATTTGCACTCGGTTTCAAAAGGTGAGATTGATTTTAATCCATGCTCACCTGTCTTTACTTTCTTTTTCAAATGGATACTGACTTACTAGCATGCATGACATACAATTAACAAAAATGAGCCTGGTGGCCATGGCTTCAACAGGAATGTATACATATACACACACGTGCAGGTATCCAGCTGTAAACACGTGAGGACAAGTTTTCTAATGGCCTCACTGCTAAATATTGAAGTGAAACTGCTGCGTCTGCATTGAGCACGTTTTCTGTGACATAGTGTTTCCACAAAAATTAAGATTTCTCTATTAATACACCAGTCATTCACACTTCCTTAAAATAATCACTAAAACATTTGCAAACACACACAGAAATTACTCCCAGTACCCTCCATGTTGAGTTGAAGACAAGGTCATAATGCTTAGAAGGTAGAAATGTTGCAATTGTGCAGCCTCAGCATTTCAACTGTTGACCAAGCTCTGTGGCACACAACATACGGATACCCACAGTTACTGTTGTTAAAGCATTAAGCTGAAATTGCTTTTCAGAATGAAGCAACAGTTACATTTGCAGTGCGTGAGCCATTGCTGGTATAGTTAGTAAAATAAGGGTAACAAAACCGAGCTTGAGTAAAAGATGGAATAATTTTATTTGGTACTCACCGATCTGGTCTTCAGGAATAAGGCTCTCGATTGGCGGCTCTAGCTCGGAGCTCTGTCTCAGGTAGCTCTTCATCTGAGTGATAAACTGGCGGAGAGTCTGCAGCAGCTCCAGTCCCGAGGCATAGCCCTGCCAGGCCTGGGTGCCCGCACCCTCGCCCATGTAGCTCAGGTAGTCCTGCACCAGGCAGCCGAAGTACGAGCCTTTATCCCTTGACAGCTCCACCACCTTGCGGATCGCCCTCTTCTCAGGCGTCAGCAGCGAGTTGAAAACACCACTCATTTTGCGCAGGTGCCCTCGCAGAGCCTTCTGCAGGACCAAAGCACCGGCACTGGTGCGGCGCTTGGTGCGGTGGCCTGGAGGCACCATGGTCAGGTCCTGGTCTTGGTCCTGGTCGCTCTCGAGACTAACACCGTAGTCGGGCTCGTCTTCATCCTCGTCGTCCTCATCATCGTCGTCCTCCTCCATGCTGCAGTAAGGCAGGTGGGATGGTGGGAGGGAGAGGGGGAGGTGGGTGTTAAAGTCAGCCACAGTGGGGGGGCTGGGGTCATGCAGAGGAGGAAGGAAGAAGGCTGAGGACTGAGAGAAATCCAGGGAGTCTGAGGAATCTGTGGAGAGGCTCATGTCACTCAGTCGCTGGCCGCCACCACTGCATTCTTCGCCTGTTTCTTCTTCTTCTCCCCTTGCCACATGTGTCTGCTTGCTTGCTGTAATCAGTGACGGGTCTGGAGGAGAGCTGGAGTCTTGGGCAGGGGTTCTGGTAGCGCTGAGCTGAGTCATTCTGGCCCTAATGAGGGCCTTCTCAATAGTCTGGTCCTCCAGCGCCAAGTGGCACTGGGCATCCTCCTGGCTGGACGATGATGATGAGGCCTTGGCCCGACGTGGAGAGGAGGAGAGCGATGATAGAGAGATGGGCAGGGAGGGCCGGGGGATGGATATGGGGGAGCTGATGCTGAGTCTCTTGGGAGGGGAGGATGAGGGGCTGATACTAAGAGAGGAGCCCAGACGAGATAAGATGCTGCTACCTCTCTCCCTCTCCTCCACCTTCTCCTTGGGGACATTGATCCAGGAGATTTTCTCTGGCATGCTGTGCTGTCGGAGAAGAGGGGCTGAGTGCTGCGGCACAATGCGAGGCGGGGGTGGGCGTGGAGGTGGGGACCGTGGCACACTGTCTGCAGCACTTAGCCTCTGACTGCTGCTACTGGTTTGGCTGTTATCCTCCCGTAGCTCTGTGTTGCTGTGACCTGATCGGCTACTGTCGCTTTGATCTGAGCTACAGATCTGAGGACTGTCTCTACAAGTGTGTTGCGTGTCCTTATTGTTGGTTTCTAGGCTGTCATTAACGAGCTCCTCCCTCAAACCCTGCTTTGCTGTACCAGAGGGATTTGAGGCTGTGCTGTGGTCACCATCTGGCTGGTGAACCTTTATGAAAAGGGGGTTGATGAAGCAAAGTGCTCCGTTGGACTGGCAACACTCGAGCTCAGATGGGGTGCGAGTTCGAAGCCGAGGGCGCCCTGGTGTGGTTGCCAAGGAGACTGGTCTCTGAACAGGGGGAGGTGGTCTGTCGGGAGCAGCTATTCCTGTTAAGGAGACCGAGCCCTTCCTCTTGTGGCACAACTGAGCATCCCAGAAGCCTGTGTGAGACAGTGAGAAAATTATGCTACCAATAGTGTATTACGTGGACAGGGTGTGATACAACATTTAAGTGCGAAATTAAATATGTCTGGGCCCTGTCTCATACCCAGGGTTGACATAGTAATATGTGTTTTGAAGCCAACATTAAGTTGGCCAAACCTGGACCACAGACTTAGTAGCTGCCTTACCACCTCACCAGGTGAAGTACAATAAGTTCTCCACTGATTTAGCGTTGCATCCCATAAAATTGTTGGACTCATGATGGATAGTTAAAAGAGTATTAAAATCAATACAAAGGAACCAGAGATATCACCTTTATTCTTCCATGCATTTTTGTTCCTTGTCAAAACCCAGTGCCTGCTGAACATGAACTACAATGCAAGTGGACTGCCGACAGTTAGGTCAGAGACTTTGGTGTGTTTTGTTAGTGGTAGCTAATGTAGCCTGGAGTCTCTACCCTGCAGCAGAGATGAGCAGCAGGCGACAGAGGTCTGGTAAACTCATTTCTTTTGACCTCCACACCCCCAGGTTTTTTTCATTTTCAAACATGTAGTCTTCAGCCCCATCGGCATAGACAACATTCACATGCACAAAATAGTCACGTTTTTGCACTTATTCTGAAAAAGACAACTTTCCTACTAAGCTGTTTAAATGGCGAATGAAAATGAATATTCCACAAATATTCATGTTTACATGCAGCTATGCATACTGAGAAACATAGAAAAGTAGACCAACTGTCACTTGTGCCAGGATTTTTTCAGAGTTTTCCACTGATGGCGGAGTTGTTGACCATGCAAACATAGCCTCCCTTTTTCATTCCTTCAACCACCTTTCTTGAAAAGGTTGACATTTGGATATTTGCACATAAGTTTTTCATAATCTTTTAAAGTATGTTTTTCCTTCCTAACGGAAATGTGGGCTTTTCTTTTGGGCATGCATCTCCACCCCACTCTAAACTGTTGGTTAGTTGGTTTATGTAAAATGCACAGAGCTGACCATAAACAGAAAAGAGGCCGTGTGTAACAAACTGTGGTAAAAATCCTTAATGAGACACATATTCCTAATGCACTGTAGACATGTCCAAAGAATGCTCCTAAAACTTGAATAATACTAGCATATCCAACGTCTTGATTGGAAAATGCTACATTTGGAATATCCAAACGGAATATGCTGTGAACATGACCTGTATCAAATTCAGAATACTGTCATATTCTGAATAGTACTGGAATATTAGCGTGGATGTAATTGTATCCCATGACTCAAGTGACATCATCTGAGGACATTTATCAGATTTCAAACAGCTCCCACTGAAGACACTAAAGCTTTTACACAACTTGTCTCACATACACAGTGGTACACCTCAACATCTGTAAACAGACTTTGATGTGTAACATCGCTTAAGTTCACCTTTGACAAACACCAACTCCTGTTATTGTCAGTGCATCATGGAACATTTCTAATAGCACGGATTGTCATCGCTATTGAGGATCGACAATCAGAGGTGTAACAGGGCATTCAGCATAAATGAATCAGTAATTACAGGCCATTTAGTTGATTACACACTTTATTTTGGTTTGGTAAGCTCCATGAGCTAAATAATTATACCCTAATTAGTTTAATAGAGTCTAATACAGTAGTTATCCTGAGTATAGTCTACTTCAGGGCACCCAAGAAAAGCAATTGACACGTGTTCCAATCTTCCAATCATGCAAATGAGACCGGCCCAGCTCACAGCATCAAACAAGGGTCACCATTGTTGACAAAGATTTGCTTGAAAATACCTCCACTGACCACTATTACTCATATGTGATGGTATCACCTAGGAATGTCAACTACTGCAACTAAAAACAGACGGAGGTTTAAATCCTTCTGCCCGTGGTGTTGGAGCAGCCTCTCACTGCAGATTCAGACTGGGCTAAAGACATATTTTTCCTTCATATTGTGACGACTCCTGCTCACTCTGCTTTTGTGTGTGTGTGTGTGTGTGTGCTGCCATCGGCGCCACAGGATATAAAAGTTCCAGCTTCCAATGTGACTTCCCTTCCCTCTCTTCCCTGTGTCTGCAACCCCTTTTGCTTTGCTCAGCCCTTTGTTTAGGTTTTTACTTCACAGCAGCTTACACTGCATTATTCACACACATCTGCATGAACACTACGTTGTATGTGAACACAACTCACACACAAATTTAACTCTCAGTTTATCTTATTTGTTATAATAAATAACTTATATGGCACCTTGGGTACGGTCCGGTTTTAGTCATTGCCGGGTTATGATGAATCAGTTTTGGAATTGGGTTGAAACAATGTTCATGTATATGTAATGTGACTTTGTGTATTTCAATTACTTACTAAGCATATGCTTAGTAAGTAACTGTTTGATTCCAACAGCATAAAAATGTTTGATTCCAACAGCATAAAAAACAGCCTGTAGGTGATTCGTGTTTTTCAGAGTTACGTGGAAAGATCCCCCCCCCGGCAGCAAAAACTATATATATGCTGAAAAATGCTTAACTTAATTTACGCCAACTTAGATTAGTCCCCTCATCCACTCCCACTGACTCAATACAAGTCCTCCAATTACAACCAATCTTCAAAAACCTCTAAATGTTGCTTCTTGTAAAATCACTGCTGTTCACTTTTGCAGAGTAGGGAGCTGGGAGCAGGGAGCTTTTTTACCGGCAAACAAGAAAGAAGAAAACAGCACTAAACTTCTATAACACAATAAGTTGTTGAACCTTTAGAGTCCAAGCCGTACCAGACACAGCAAAACAAGACAGACACACACCAGGGGAACAATACTGCATGAGGAATATGAGTCCCAGACACAGAGCAACTCCTTCACAGAACTACAGAGCAGAGAGAGCGGCAATACTCACGGTGATCCCAAAGCTCAGTGACACACAGGCAAGCTGTTGATCTCAGTCTAACTTCTCTGATAGTTTTGCAGAGGATACACCGCTGTGTCGGCACAAGCTGAAACTCGACTGGCTGTGTTATGACTCACTTCTGTTAATGAGTGTGTGGGCGGGCTGTTAGCATTGTATTCCTGCCTCCCTCTCTTCCTTTCAGTGGAAGTTGCGTGGTCTCTCTCACTCTCTGTTGCTCTCTCTCTCTCTGTGACACACTGAGACCCGTTTTCCTATTTCCCTCCCACTCTACTCTTGTTTACTCTCTTTTCTGGTCGAATCATCTTTTTCCTCTGGTACATGCTCTGATACTCATTACTGTTGTTAATTCTATGTCATCATTCTGTTTGTTGAAGATATTTCAGTATTTGGTTTTATGACACTTCTAATTCCATGAACATGTACATGGCATGTTCACACAAGTATATGCAAAGCACAGCAAAAAGCTGCTGTACTGTGTTCAAACACACACACATACCCAGGACTTAGTGCACAGAGGAATGTGGTTTGGTGTGTTTGATGTAAGAACCGGGAAAGTCAAGGTTGAGGCAAAGGCAGCTGGTAGAGATATATGCCAGCTGAACTGGAGCCAAAAATAGACAGAGCTCACACACTGTAAAGCACATGAGGTCAGTCACTTTGGTTCTTGTGCAGCTGGGAATATTTCATAAATGTAATTACTGACTGGGCTTATGTATAGAACTGGGTAAAAATGGGTAGATCAAACAAATGTACTTATTACATGCTAATGTGGGCTGTAGATTTGACTTTGGTAACCACACTGCAATACTTAAGCTGAGTGATAAAAAGCAACAAGTGCTATCACAAAGGTCAGAAAATGAGAACTCTTAGCATCTCTGAAACAAAAAGAGGTAAATAATCTTCACTGATATATGGCTAAGTCTTCCAGTTTTACTAAGCTGATTGCTCATCATGACTATAAAACAGGCTACTGTCAAGTTTATTGTATTGTTTATTGTTATTTATTGTTCTGTTATTCTTCTTCAAACTGTGTGGCTTTGAGGTGGATTATCTTGTCTCTGCAAACTGTTTATAGTACATTTTGGGAAATATTAGGAGCAAATGACTTCCAGGAGATGAGGCAAAGGTGCAGCAGAGCAAAGTAAGGTAGGTCTCATCGACCCCTTGGTCATAAGCATCTTGAGATTGGAGTTGCGACTTTTAAGAACTAACCCATTTCTTTAACTTTCTAACTCATCAGTATAGCCCACTCCAAACTGTGTAGTGACAGGAAACATCAGCATATCAAACTTTGCTACATATGGGATGGCTTGCATGCAGTTTGGCAATGAGCAATACCAGAAACAATGCCATAAATACAGAATCCCACCTGTGCATTTATTCTGCAAGCAGCACTGTCAGCAAGTCACTAGAAACAATCAATCATTTTTACTTGTCACATGTTCCCACATAAGGTACAATTTGTTTCATATAGGGTTCAATTCCAGTGAAATGCATTTAATGTATTTGTTCTACTAAACAAACTAGAATTACCATCGTGCTGTTGTATGCCTCTGCAAACCAGTAAAGTTGTCTGTAAAAACATGGATGCTTCACTCACATCTTCTAGCACAGCTCAGAAGATCTATTCAATCAGCATAGTTTCAAGATGGACCCCCAGGATTAGAGTCACCAATTAAGTATCTGATCAAATGTCTCCCCTTCTGTTACTGAGTCAAGGCCCGAACATACCCGGGCGGAGCGTACGCGGAACGGACTCTGCTGAGGTCCGCAAGCCCTGTGCGCGCAAAGCTCAGATTTTACGACCGCGCGGACTCCTCTCCGCGCACCAGTGACTGCTCGGCATGTATTTTTCACATCGCGGGGATTTTTCATGGACATTTTTACAGGAAACTACAACACGGAAGTGCGCTCGACTATGAAAGCCCGAATGACTGCGGACATTCCTCGCAGAGTCTGCTCCAAAGTATCAGCGTAATCAGAGGCAGCGATTGCATTCCGTACACAAGCACACAGAGAGAGAGAGAGAGGGAAAAAACACACGACTTGTCGACTCCTCCCGGGGGGTGTTGACTTGTGCCACTGACGTCGACACGTCGACAAATCGACTTTTCTGTTAATGCCCTACTGTGAAATTTTGTCGAAGTGTATGGATTCTGGAGTTACAGCCAAAAACATGTTTCGTGAGGTCAAAGTGACCTTGACCTTTGACCTTCAACCACCAAATTCTAATCAGTTCATTCTTGAGTCCAAGTGAACATTTGTTCTAAAATTGGAGGAAATCCGCTTAAGGTGTTCTTGAGATATTGCATTCACGAGAATGAGATGGATGCAAGGTCACAATGCCAGATCTAACCAGGTCATTGTTTAGTCCAAGTTAACATTTGTGCCAAATCTGAAAGCATTTGGTCAAGGTGTTCTTGAGATATTGCATTCACAAAAATGAGACAGATGAGGTCACAGTGACCTTGATCCTTAACCACCAAAATCTCAACAGTTCATCCTTGAGTCCAAGAGGACGTTTATACCAAATTTGAAGAAATTCCCACTTTTTGAGATATCACGTTCACAAGAATGCAATGGACAGACAGGCGGATGGACAACCTGAAAACATAATGCTGCTAAGGCATAATACAAATTCAACATAAGCTGGGTTGACAGTTCATTCTTGATTTAAGAATAAGTATTTTGACAAATAATCCAAAGGTCCACTCACAAGCTTCTTCTGGAGCTATAAACTGCATCTTTCTGCCATCATGAAGACAACTTCATGACACTGAGTCTAGCCTTTTGAAGTTTTCTTGTTTTTTGTTTTTTTTTGAAAGTCTACAGGAACTAATGCCTGAAGCAAAGTTTATTCTATCGTTCAGGTTACAATACTTTTACACATTCTCTTGTATCCTATATATTATTGCTACTTAACTCATGATACGTATTTGATATTGCTTTAGAAAAGGAATGCCAAAGTAGTAAAAATGAACATCCCATCGGTTCAGTCAAAATACAGCAACTAAAAAATGTTGGTAACTGTTGCTACAGAGACTGAATGAATGTAACTAATAGTGCCAAAACACAGTTTAATGACAATGACAAAGAAAATGAATGTATTGGATGTGGATCAGTTACATCTGGCTGATACCTGATCCACTGAATTAGATTAGTATCAGCCCTGGTGCCAATCCAGAGGACTGGATCAGTGCATCGCGTGTAAAATAATCCATCAAAGCACAAATACAAACTAAATAGTAAGGGTGTCTTTAGTAAGGCCCTCTGTCAAAATCAAGTTTAAATATCTAATATTTTGGTTTGATGGGGGTTTATTTTAATTATGACAAACTGACCTAGAGCTGACTAATATTCCAATATAGCAATGCTGGTTGGTTTCTGGGAATGTCAGAGCTCCATAATGGCCAACAGGCCATTTTTGCACCATGGTGGGTTAAACTGGCCCTGCCAAGCTTCTAATTCTCTAAATTAATAATTTTAACAAACAAGCCTTCAAAAGGTATCACAAAAGAAAACAAACTGCAGTCATTACAGGGGGGACAGCCATACAACAGGTAATAAGACACTGTGAAGACGTCAGAGTCAACAGTACATCTTTCCCAGCCATTAATGTTGCTTGTATGTACGTCAGAACTACCTATTAGATCAACTATTCATTGCCGCTCAAGTGTCTTCATAGACACACAAAACCCACCATTGTGTCACCTCACCAAACAGCAACCCTTTTATGAATAAGAGGGAGTGAAAGAATGTATGTCTGTAGATCATTTGAGACCAAAGAGAGTCTCATCAAATCATCATGTGTCATCTTGAACTCTTTAAGAGACTGTCAGGCTGAGGGACACTGGACGTCTGACACAGTCAGCCTAGTGTACACATGATAGCTCAGAGCTGAGTCACAGCACAGCCTGAAAGGACACAAAGGTTACACTGACAGCTGAATTCACAAAAGGGTTGCGCAGCTTTTGCGACTGCTAGTCCTGCAAAAACAAGTTAAAAAGCAACCATGTAATTCTCAAAGCACCTGCAAAGGGTGCTATCTGCATGTATTTAAATTAGGTAATACACATACATTTTACACTAAACTGAACGTTTTATGCCAATGAGACTCACTGTAAAGACAGTCCCATTAAAAAAGATCAGCGCTAATAGCAACACAGAGTTACAGTGAAATTAGTAACGTCTTTTAAGAGTTGGTGGTGGTAAAACACCAACAGCACTGACAGACTGCAATATTAAATCTCAAAAATGGTTTGTCTCTGTCACGTTTAAGAATGCTGCCGCATCTCATTGGTGAGTACCTGTAGCTTGCAGCTGTTCAGCCTACTGTGTTCTTGCTGCAAAGGCAGCAATTATACTTTGCTGCGTGGATAATTGCAACCAGATGCAAAAAAGTTCAAACTGCACTCAGGTGCAAAACTTAATTGGTGTGTTTGTGCTAAAATATCATTAATGCAATATCTTTTGTGAATCTGGTGTTGAGATGAGGCAGATAGTGGTTGCAAGTGATGCACAAGTCATGGTGCTATCAACACAAAAAAATCGCCAGAAACAAATGTTGGCATTGTACGTTTCTACAAACCACAGATATGTTACATTTATAAGTTATTATGAAGCGAATCATTTGAATCCTTACATTTAAACAACACTGTGGTTAACCTGTGGTTATTCTTAGGCACAGTAGCCAATTGGTTATGGTTAGGAAAAGATGTTTTGGCTTAATTACTTGATTTCGGGGGCACAATCCCCGCTGGCCAAGCAGTGATGAATTGGTAAAAAAAAAGAAGAAGCTTTTTTGTGGCAGTATTCACACTAAAAAAATACAGCAACAGGTTGCTACTCTACACCCACATTTGGTGCCATAAACCCACTGGAAACAACGCAGTGATATGCTAAATCACAAAAGGTTTTGTTTTTCGTCCTGAATAGTGGTTCACAGTGGTCTGCAACTTGGTAGATGTCCATCACCATCCACCATCTCCTCCACTTCCCGATGACAAAGTCAACTGATGTACTACGTCAGCTCAGAAAAGTTGATGTGATATGTATGAGATGTTCAAATGTAATGTATTCGTGGTTTGCAGAAACGTACAATGCCAACATTTTCTTCTGGCATCTGGGCTGACCGCAATCCGGTCTTTGTAAATTTGCTTATGAGTGGGCTATGAAAAGGGTGATGGTGTGGAGGATAATTCCACCAACATCTGAATACTTTAAAACCACTATTTTCACCTCAACTAAGTAAAAAAGTCAATAGTGTAAATAAGAAGAAGCAGGTAAAAATTAAAATAATATTTGCTCTGTTAAGATTTAAATACATAAATTAGTTTTTAATGATGACAATCCATGATCTTGTTAACAGTAAAAACTGACTTCACCCTCTCTTGAGATGGTGTCAGCTTGTATCATTGCAAATGTCCAATATTTTGTGGTGACGGCTGTAGAAGGTTGAGGCCCTCCACAGCTAGGAGAGAGGCAGTCCTTGCCCAGCTGAACAGCACTCATCTGGGCCTGGAAGAAGCTTTTGTCCGTGGGGTCGAGTCATTTAGCACTGCCATGCCAGTTAATCCTTCGAGTAGGGGGGAATGTGGTTGAGATGAGCTTTACGAGTGTCACGCCTCGGGAACATTTTTTTTTTACGCACAACAGATGTGGGATGGAGGAAAACACTCTACTTTTCTAAATCAGCAAGAAGCTGAGGGAAGTGCACAGATCAGTTTGACTGCAAAGAAGTGATGCAATATCCCCAATAACTGACTGGAGAAGTGTTTCTGTTGATGCAATAAAGGAGATTTATAGTAAACACAACTCAACATGAGACTCTGCTCACATAGATGACATGGTAACCTTTGTCTGTGGTTGTTTGCACTCATCTCTCTCTCCTACCAAGCTACATTTTGACTACTTAATATAACCATGGGATCACCTAATAATGTACATTTACACACTGGCTGCCATCAGTTCACAGTATGCCCCAGTCGCATGCTTGTTCCCCAAATATGTATCCAAATTTTATAACAAACCTGCTCCAAGTTTAGCAACCTCCTCAAGATCAGCAGACGTTCTGGCTGAAGCAATGGCTTCTGGAAGCTTCAGAGTGAAGGGCAACACGTCCCTAAGAAAAGAGAAAAGACCGAGTGAAAGTGAGAAAGACTTGGTCAACAGCGAAAAGGAAAATCGAGTGAAAGAGGGCGGGACAGAAAGCCCATTCCAACAAGTGTGTGATTCACTGTGTTGGAAAAGTGGAGCGTGGCGTAGCCTGGGTGTGTGGTGTATATTCAACCACACAGCCAGAGGGGAATGTGTGCCCACTGCTCTCCTCCCTGTTGGCCTTTTACAAGTTTTCCAAAGGCCTTAGTCAAACAAACCTGAGTGATCAAAGCTGAACATTTTACCTACAGATCTGTGATGGAAATAATCTCTCGGTGGACACTTTAACGGAGATAAATGACTGCAGCTGTTGGACTGTTGGGTACATGGCTACCAAAAGAACAGGGAGTGACATAAATGTGAAATGACATTTGGGTATTTAGGAAACAATACAAGTATTATGAAGAAATAAATACAAGTAATATACAGTAGAGTGTAAGTTATTAAAACACTAAGCTCTGTTTCTGACCTCTAGCAGCACCACAGAACAGTTTTTTTATGTGGCCTACCTGAAATAAAATACCTTTATCTAGAAAAACTCATCTTTGTTTTGCTATATACTGTTGGCAGGGTGTGAGCATTTCACTCACATTTGGGACCACAAATAGATATGTGTGAACTGTAAATATATTTAGGAGCATGTATGTAAATAAGCTAATGCCAGGGTGTGTTCACACTTGGACACTTGCAGATGCATGGTAAGTTTCCCACCTTAGAATTTGCTACATTTTTGTTTTAATTAGTTGTCTTTTTTCTTTTGGTAATGGAGCACACATGGCCTTTGACATGGACAGTGTTTTCACTGGTAGTGTTCTGTTGTGGCCGTCACAGTTAAATCTTTGCTGCCACCACACACAAAAAAAAAGGAAAAAAAATGTAGTAACTGAATGTAACTTCAGTTCTATGAGTGCAAGAACTGCACGGAGAGGAAGCGGAAGTGAGACTAGCGATACGACTCATGACCAGACATTATAGTTTACAACTAGAATTAACGCCTCATGGTTATATGCCTCTGCGAACCAGTCAAGTTGCAGTTACATTTTACATCCATGCTTCATGCAGATTTGTTCGTTGTTTTTGCCTATTACTAAAAAGCAGCTCTGTTATGTACTCTTGAGCTGACGAGACTGAACTCTCTCCACGGTCTTTCTGGATTCAATGGAACACTTGAAATAGTTCCTTTAAAACACCTCAGTGTTTTTGGACTGCCATAGAGTTTGCTTCACAAGGAATGTAATATCTAATAATATTAGACAAAAAACAAAGCAATTTCTCTTTCCTACCACAGATACTTCCGTATTGCACATGTAGCTTGTATCCTGTATAAGGTTTATTGGAAAAATGTTTACCTATCCATCAAGTCAAAGTTGACTGACAGTGTTTCCCTGATGTCGAATTTTTAATGTTAAGAAGCCCAGAAATTCACCAGTGTTTTTGTTGTTGCTGTTTACATTCCTCCTGATGATTCAAAACACACTACTGTTTAAGTTGTATTTGTTGGTTTTCTTGTGTAGCATGAAGGAACTACAACTGCATTTCCTGGTGCAACCCTGTGTTGCACAATGACAATAAATTACCTTTGAACCTTCTGCAGTTTAAAGCAATTCAAAGTATAAATAATTACATAATTATCAAATAAATAAAGTTCAAAGCAGAATGTAGTTTTTTATACTGAAATAAATTAAATAATTTGCTTGTAAATGTCTCCTTGTATTGTATTTTTGAGGGAAAAAAAAAAACATTATTTGATGTTTGATGTTTATCTCCTAGATTTTTCAACTCATGAGCACATGTGCTCATAAGTTAACTGTTTAGAAATCACAGAAAAAGTTAACACTAAAGCCTGACTGGTAGGTAACATTTCAATGATCTGCCACTGCCGGCCAATAAAGAGGCTGTACTGAAAGAGCCTTAATGTATCCTAGAGCTGGGCAAAATATGGACAAAAATCAATATCCCGGTATTTTTTGCTGCATGTGTTTTTCCACAGCAGGGCATCAACATATCAGGGTGGCTGTTTCTGCTTTCACTTTCCTCCCTGCCGTATTATTAGACTTGTCTTAATTGAAGAAAAGCCACTAATAAAGTTTCGCTAATTTGGTAATAAATATATTTTAATTCCTACAGAGTCTTAAAAATAAATGTCCCCCATTATTTTGTTACGTAAAAACTTTTATTGTGAAGCAGCAAAATAAGGAAATGTTGAGTTTTCAAGCAGGAACTCCACACAACTTCTAATACTGAGGATAGTGAACATAAACAGTAAAATAAAGCAGATATCTAAAGTAAAAACAGGACACAGGAGAGAAGCTAAACTCCAAACCACAGAGATTCAGTTAGAAGCTACAAAAGAACGGAGAGTTGAACACAAGAGACTTTTAAAAACACCTTTCACTCTGGTCTCTTGAAGACAGAGGTGAGGAGAGTCTCACATTACACACGGCTTGTTTGAGGGGGAGAAAAGGGGATAGTCTGGGGTTGGCTGCGGTCGGCGAGACGCCACCACTACCTGCTTGAGTGCGGGCAGCCTGGCTTTTGGATCTAATCAAGAGAAGGAGTAGGTTTGCAGCTCAGTGTGGCACCGTGCGTCTGAACTGATAACAGAAACACAAATCGGAGCAACATGGCTTGACTGGACATGGCTAAAAGTTACGGAGGAAAAGGCTCACAGTATTGTACATGTGCTACTGCGGTACCTTCATCCATCTGCAATATATAGACCGATGTTGCACTGTAGACTAATGAACAGACAGATTAAACAGAGGAGCAGCTCTGTGTCTCTCTGAATGTTGATGGAGAACCTGTGAGTGAGTGAGGGGGGCAGAGCTGTGCGGAGTGTGAGGGAGGAGAGATGCACACTGGTATGCATTATGTGGCACAACTTAGCTAACTATATTGATATAAACTGTATTGTCTAAATCTATGTCTTGCTTGAAAATATATTGATATATTGCAAAAAATCATATCGCCCAGCTGTAGTGTCTCCAATCATAATGCTTAAATCTTAATCCTACTTTCAAAAGTAAAAAGGCTCATTGTCTGTGCTATTTGAATGACACAACGATGACTAAAGATATGACAAATGTGCAAGAAAAAAACGTCTTCTTGCTCTAGCACCAATGACACTACGTTCAATGGAACAGTTGTACACTAGTCATGTATTTCTATTTTAACTGTGTATCCATCTAAAAATGAATCTCTGCTTCCTTGTTTAGATGAAGGTTAAAGGTGGAATTCTTTGTGGAGTGCTTTTTTTACTTGACACTTCCTTCTTTGCCTTTGTTATGATTTGCAGTGTTGGTGAGCTGTATTAGGACCAAACATAGACTGTTTCCTCCTCATAAAAACAACATATCTGTAAGAGTTATACTGTGAAAAAACGTAGATTTTATTTCATACATTAATATACTTACATGATGTATTTTGTATATTGTAGTGTCCAAAATTATGAATATATTTATATGCACAAGCACAACACATGGCAAATATCTGTAAATGAAGGGATCGAGCAGAGTCTCAGTGTTCTACATATATAAGAATCATGTTGATGGGACATTCTGAGCCTTAGTAATGTATTAAAAATACCGACAGTGCAACTTTTTTGCAAATTTGCACCATTAAACCCATACCAAATTACCTATTAGCAGGTCCTATTTTTAGTGTTGCCATGAATGTACAGGCAACTATCACTGATTTACTCTGATACTGAAGAAAATATGTTGATTCTCAGGGAAAGGTCCGGAGTTCTTTTTTCTATGATTTCTAAACAGACTCATGGATGTTTATATGAAGGATCTTCTACAAGTGTGAGTCCCACTGGATCCTAAAATATGCGGATCATGTCTGTGTGTTCAGATTTGATGACTCAGGGAGGGAGAACGGATTTTTATGTATAATGCAGCTCATGCCTCTCGACTTTCCCTCTGAAGATGGATAACTAGACAGTGGTTTATGTAATATACTCTATTCTATTGAAACTACTCTACTGTATTGGACATATAGATGAAACATGGATTACATCAGTGTGGTTTTCATGTCTTTCTGTGATCATGAGTAATTCTAAATGCTCAACTCACCTGCTAATGCAGCAGAATGCCACCAGACGGAAAAGGTCTGCAAAGCTCAGCCCTGATCCCACCAAAGAGAAAGCTGTAAGAGCAGAGAACAACATGATCATGACACAGGAAACTGTCAGAGGAAAATAATTTAAAAAAAAAACTGTGTCTAAATGAACCATGTGACTGAGCAGTTTAGTTCTAAATACCACCAAGCTATGCTTTGCATCGATATTTTTGATTTTCTGGTTCAAAGAAATCCTGTGATGAGGATCAAAAACTGGAACTCCTTAGATATAAAATCATGCTGATTCTGCATGTATCATGTTTTAACTTATTTCACTGGCAAAGGATGGATAAAACATAGCTGAGAAACAAGCACAATAACCACAGCCAAGTTTTAAACCAATACATACAAAGAAATGGATTATATCTTTATAATCCCTAAATTGACTTGACTTCCCCTGGGGATAAAAGAATAAGACTGGTATTATAGGTGTCATATAAATAATCAGAACAAATAGTAATGAGAGTGACTGTGGTGGTAACCACTTTTCCCATGTGGACTCAAACTGTTGCTTAATAGATGTGTAAAAGACATTTTGCTGGAAAACAGATCATGTAATAGTTGGGAGGAGGAAAACTTCTGCATGTGTCTTGCCTGTAATAGACTGTAATGAGAATGTTTATGCTCACAACTTGGGACACAGGTACAACAACTTCCAGTCAAGCCCTCTTACAAAGATCTGAACACGACCAAGATCTGAGTATAGGCAGAGATAACAGGCATTTAGCGTATCCCAGCTGACATTGGGTGAGAGGCAGGCTACAGCCTGGACAGGTCGCCAGACTATCACAGGGCTGACACATAGAGACAGACAACCACACCTATGGACAATTTAGAGTTCCCAATTGACCTATCCCCAATCTGCATGTCTTTGGACTGTGGGAGGAAGCCAGAGTACCCGCAGAAAACCTATGCTGACACAGGGAGAACATGCAAACTCCGCAAAGAAGGGCTCCCACACCCAGGATCGAACGAGGAACCCTCTTGTTGTGAGGTGACGGTGCTAACCACCACACAACCGTGCTGCCTGTGCTATGAATTGAATTCTCAAAATGTATTGCTGTTCCATATCTAAAGTCATCTCTAGCACAAGATGTACAAGGTGTGATGAAATAGTCAGTTCCCAGTCAGAAACAGCTCAAAAATTAACCATGTTATTTAGTAGTTATAAAACCACCAAACAATACTGTGCTTTGAGATTTTTAATGTGGCACATGGCACATTGGCCAATCAGCAGGCCCACATGGATTCTCTCTGCTCGACATTGAACATTCCATTTTAATGGCCTTGTGTCTCACATTTTGTTGAATGACTTCTTAAAAGTATTCATGATTGAATCAAATTTCTGATTCAAAGTTTCTACTATCTTACTGAGTAGTTCTTTTAGTCTGCTTGAGGTAATTTTAGGTTTAAAGTATTGTGTGAGGTTATTTTTGTTCAGTTGTTATCATAAATTAATATTGTCTATCACATTACGGGCAAAAAAATAAAAAATAAAAAACATTCAGCAGAATTCTGCAGATTTTCATTTTGGATCACGGCTGAAAACAATAAAAAAAATCTGCAGATTCCGTTTGGGCCTGCCAATCGGTCATCTTTGCGTCATCTGCACAGAGTATGTCTCAATATCTGGAACACTCACAAAACTCAATACAACTCACAACAACAGTTCTCTGTTAAAGAACACAAGCTCAAACAGGCCACAGCACACTTAAATCAAGTTGCCAACTGAAATGAGTCACATAGAGTGAAACAGAAATTCACGTCAGTAAGGGAAGGTCAAGGTTTTAATATTGCAACATATTGCATGCTTGAGTTAAGTGATGTGGCTTTGTTCGTGTGGTGATACCAAAACAAATGTGAACAAAGCTTGATACAGCAAGCTTGATGGGAGCAAGAGCCCTAAGCTATCAATCTCCTCATCCATGGAACCATCTTCTTGTTTGGGTGTGGGAGGCAGTCAGCTTCTTCACATTTAAGAGAAGGCTCAAGACTTTACTCTTTGATAAAGTTTATAGTCAGGGCTGGCCCTGAACCGTCCCTTAGTTATGCTGCTATAGGCCTAGACTGCCTTGAAACACTGAGCCCCCCTCTCCCCCTCTTCTTCTCCATCTGCACACATTCATGTCTGTTCATAACTTCTCCTTCAGCATCTTCCCTGGAGTCTTTGTGCTTTCTTGTCATGCAGGTTTTTAGTGGGTTGTGGTTGCATGTGCTGCAATGGTCCTGTTTGATGCCCATTTCTACTATTCTTATTAGTAAGATTTCTATTATCATCATTATAGTTGTCATATATGTCGTATTGTTATAGTATCGTTGTTGCTGTGCATATCTCTATCTCTCGCTTTGTTTCTCTCAAGCCCCTGTTACACAGAGATCACACTATGGGGCCATTACGAACTTCCGCCTTTGCATTTTTAGACAGAACCAAACGACTGCTGCATAATTCTGCTCCCATGTGTAATTTTAGACTGCATCCCAGCATTGCGGAATCAAAATAAGTGTGACATGTAACACAACAGCATTGGCCTCGGGTGTGACACGCGCAGCAGCTCTCAATAACAATGGCATAAAATGGTAATAACAATCATTTACCATCCCTCCTACAGCGCAGCTATTCTAGCCCTCTGCTCAGAGGGTAAGGGGATCCTGGAACTTAATGCTTTCCCAATTTGCAGACATTTTCAGCCACTGTTCTTCATCTTTAAGTTCACCGCCAGCTGCTATTGACTATTTAAATCTCTCACGTTGTCAAAACGTCATACCTGTGCCATCCATGATTCCATCCTGCTGGCTGTTGCATTTATACAGATATCGTTTCGGCGCTGTTAGTGCCTCCATTACTTTCTCGGAGGTGAGACAGCACTGTTCCCTCATTCCCGGATCATACCTTACATACACAACGGTGAGGCGGAATAATGGCACGATATTACCTGGACAGGCAGTGAAAAGAAGCTTCTGATACTCACTTTGGGGCTCATCCCTTTCGCTTTACCAAGCAGTTGAGAAGCAAGTCACAGAAACTTAACTTGATTCTTAAGGAGCTGCAGTGTTTATTCATGCACAAACTAACACTGACACATTACATTTACTACAGCTTGACAAATTTACTGATAATTTCTTCTGTGCTCCAATTGCCAACACCTGTCTGCTCTGAGCATATCCACCCTCACTCTCTCTTCCTCTCTTGACTACACATTCACTACGCACTGAGCTATTCCTTAAAGGAGCTACATTACTCGAATAACATGACAACAGCATGCTAATTACTTTCAAGAAAAAAAAAATATTTTTTTACACTAGAAACAACCCGAGCCATAGTTCAATTTGATCCATTCTGAAACCACCTCTTTTTGTCATAGAGTGAGGCTGTTTGGTCTGGACCAGGGTCCGGAAGAGGTTTCACACCCGTAGAATTTGGGTTTAGATGAAACTGAAAAGTCTGAAAGTCTGGACCAAACAAGGTAGATGTGAAAGAGCCCTTAATCTTGTTTGAGGTTATGTGATTATCCACGGATTAACTGCAGTAACTTGGCAAACAAAAAAAAGAAAAACAGGAACTCCTGACTCCTACAATAAGTTATGTTACATTTGTTTAAATAATTGTTCTTATCCAAAAACAGCCACGTATTAGAATTTTCTTTTTTTTTCTCGGTTGGTAGTGAGATAAAAGCATACATGTAAAAACTGTAGTAAGAAATAGATCCAAGCTATTTAAAGATTTATCAGACACCAAAACAATACCTTGCAAGATGATATTGCATTAAAGTGAGTCAACTTTTTGCCAGCCAACTCTGTGTCTTTCTGCTGCAGCCCACTACATCAGCACCTCCCCTGCGCCATGCAATAGGCTTGCGGAAATGGCTGTGTTTTTTTCTCACACTGCTGTTGTTGGAGTGAACATGGCCATGCTGCTTCAAAATCCCAGTTAGATTAGAGCTCTGATCTGATTAACCCTTTACCCATCCAAAACAGGAACAAATGTCCCGCGTATAACTGTAAACTAAGATAAACTGTGTAGAATGAGTCACTTAATTTAGTTTATCATCATGCTGTTGTCTTACCTGTGAATCAAACAAAGACTTTGGTGGTGCAACTGATTGTATTCCTCCATTTGATTTCCAGTGTGACATAATTTACAAACACACTTATTTAATCTTTAGGTTTAAATGGATGAGTAAGTGGGGTTCTGGAGAATCTATCCATGTTAAACAGATTATTCTTAATCCAAAAGAAAGGTTTTGCATTCACGTTTCCTCCTCCCTGTCATTTCACTTAAGGAGACGTTACATGTTGGGAGTGACTATGACTTATACAGAGACTAGCAGGTTTTGCATGACACAACTCTCAGTGAATTGAGCCCTATTTATTGTTGCGTGTCTTCAGTCTACACCTTTTACCACCTGTCAGAGAAAAAAGGGAAAGGGGAATAGAGGCTGCAGTGGGCGGTGATTCACACGCAAGACATACTTTCACTCAGTAAGCATTTGGAAATTCCACTCTGGTGGTGAAGTGTCAGCATACACAGGTAAAAGAACAAGACACTACACATTCACAGCAGTGTGATATTTGCTCAAAGCTTCAGGAAAATCCCTGATTATCAGGTAACTGAAATAGAACCAAACAAAGAAGAAGAACAGGGGATTTAGTGGTATGGGGTGATTGAAGAGGAGGAAGTTGAAAAGTAAAGCCTCCACGTCACCAAACGTCTCACAGACAGAGATACAGTACATCAAAGAGTCTGACAATTACATGAGATATCTCTCTGACTGGAACAAAGCCTCAAGAGGAATACTGTGCAGACAACAGGAGGTCGATCAAATCTAAGGTTGCCAATAATGTTGACCAGAACTATTTATTGGTTATGATGTTTTTGCAAATTTTGAATTTGTATTTCTATTTCTGTGAAATGTGTACCATGATCCACAAATATCTCACTATCCACAAACATGATTATTTTTGTTGTTGTTGTGTGATGTCACATCCACAAAAATACAGAGCAATCTACCAATACACATAACTTGCTTATAAACACCTATTTTAATTTAACATAAAAATGATAAAGGTTTTATAAATGTAAATATTTTCACCACAACAGATATAAAGTCATATTACACATTTGTGGATACAGACTGGGAGGACAGACCAGAATGCAGCAAGATCATGGCCAGCAGCAGTGCTGGGTCTAACCTGTATAAAGGCAGCAACTCAAAAATTTGCTGATCTGACAGGGGAGCGGAGCAGTCCAGGATCAGGATCAGGATCAGACACCCAGCATTAGGGGATGCGCCAGCTGAATTCAAGTTTCTATAGACACTAACTGAAGGTCTGTCTCCGGAGTTGCCATCCACTCTCCTCCCTGTGAAGTATTCTCCTACTGGTGGGGAGTGACACGGAGTGACTGGGGTGCACTAACAAACTAATTCCTGTCTCATTTGTGGCCTGATAAACAGTCCCTATTTTTCAAACTGCATGAGTGGGGTTTCCATGACTTTCCATGTCATTGGCCCTTTTTACATTGCTTGTTCAAGGTGGGAATTTGTGCTGTTATTCTGCCTCGCTGTTCTTTATGAAAGGTACAATTGCGGAATGGGGGGACAGAGTTGTCTTGCCTTCAAGTCACCAGCAGAGGTAGAAACAGTGCTAAATCAGCATCTGTGTAAGAGCAACAACCAGCATGATGCAATCAGGGATGGGATGGGTGTGACATTTTGAAGACATGTTGTGTGTGACCCACTGTCAGGAGATCTAAAGAGCAGCTACAGGCAGTTAGCAGCTAACTCAAAGAAGAAAAACGACAAAGAATGTCCGCAAATTGGAAAACAATGAGCCCTGGGCGCTCCTTACCCTCCATGCAGAGGATGACATCAGCCGCCATATGACAGAGACGGTAAATGATTGTTATTGCAATGGTATGCTATTGCTATTATTTATAAAGCGCTGCTGATGTGTATGTTATTTGTCACATTAGAGGCTGACACTGTTGTGTTACATGCCTGTCACACCTCTTTTGCTTCCAGGATGCCGACATGCTGTATGAAACCAGACACTGGCACAGCATGATGCCGCACTCATTTGGTTCTGTGTAAAAATGCAAAGGTGGCTATACAGGGTTGGCGTAGTTTCATCTAAAGTAGGCAGACTCTTGTTTTAGCCATCTCCCAGTACAGACTGTAGCTCTGCTGACGCAGTTACAAACTGCACCATACATCTGTAGATTTTTTTCTACAGATCTGCTGCGGTATGAAATGGACAAAAAATCGCAAATAAATAGGGGGGAAATGTGAAAAGCCTGTTTCACATGTACTAGTGGTTCCACAAGTGTGTAAATATGACCTCACATGTATTTGTTGTGGTGAAATTTACATTTGTAAAACCTAAAACCTTTTTTATGTGAGATTAAAATACATGTTTACAGATAAATTATGCATATTTTTAAATTGCTCTGTAGATTTGTGGACACTTTACATAACACAAATACAAACAATACATGGTTGTGAGATATTTGTGGATTTTGGGACACATATATATTGATTAACTTCTGTTACAACTATTAAAGTCCAATAAAAACTATAAAAACTTCCATGTGTGTATTCTGTGTTTTTATTGTATGTGGGTCACGATGATTCAGGCCGGTATGATAATTGCAGGTTTCTGAACACCCAAAACATGACTACTCAAGTGCTTTGGCCAAAATCTAGGCTGCATAATTACAGCAGCAGAGTAATTCCAGCTGAGCTACTGAGACAATTTTTTGTTAATACTGACAGTCACAGCAACCCCTGAGGACTGGTCACGCACATATTTTGCCACCTGGTAGGTGTGGTAATCCCCATGATAGCCTCGTCCATTTCATACCACTGTCTAATAGTTTGTGTTGCTGGGGGAGGACTGAGAAACCGGACTGGCAGCTTTATGCATTTCAAAGTAAGAAAAAACAAACATTCCCAGATGCTTACTGTATTGGCTCTCCTTAACAGGGAAGTCTTTGACAGGAACTGCAGAGTCTTTGTTCATGCGAAGAGATATGACTTTCCTCTGCAGGCTGGTTGACTTCCTCACCACGAATGTCTGCAGTCCAGGGGAGGAAACATCCAATCAGACACATACTTACTGTGAGCTCTAAAACTGTTTTGCATTTGCTTCTGATGACACAAATTGTTTTGCATGTTATACTCTTTGAAACAAGTAAAGCTTTGCAGGCAATACCGGTACTTGTTAAAACGTTCTGAAGTTCTTGAAGTGATGTGATTATATTTTAATACGGTGCAGTAAAATAAATCACAACACCTGTGACTGTATGATTTATATAAATGTTTAAGCTGTCTTAATACAGAGAGGCAGTTTTGTGAACATTTTATTTTTAGTTCAGAGGATGGTTGGTAGGGTTAAAACAACTGATAACCTGTACAATTAACCCAAATAGTGAACACAAAAACTGCACAAAGTCTGTGTTAAACCAGTGATTTGGATGAATTCTGAGCAGATTATTTCCTGTGAATATTTCATTAGAGATGAGTTTTCCTGATGATTTTCAGGAACTTTTCATTCAATTCTCTGTCTATACCATGCATTTTCTTTTTATTTTAACAGTCATACATACTTAATAGGCATCTTTTTTTGATTAATTAATGTCTTCTTCTCCCCGACTCTTGGCTTTCGTTCAGGTCTCCACTGTGCCCTTATCAGTTTCATTTATATATATTATATGCAATGTGGCAGGAGATTTCAGGTCGAGAAAAAGAAATGCCAATTAAGATTAACTGTCATGTATAAAAGAAAACAGCTGATTGGAGTTCAGTGTAACATCATTCATGAGCCTTCAAAAACATAGGAAGGCCTGTAAGGCCTAAAAAGGTGCTGAATCTTGACTATAAACACATAGACTTCCTATATTTCTTTTTTAGGTTAAGACTGCAGTTTGTCATCATAAAACACTCACACTTTGGTTGGCTTAAAGCTGAATTATTTGGTAGCAACTACTTTGAAAGCTAGGAAGTTCAACTTTTACACCAAAGTGGAAGCTTTAAGTCAATGGTGTGGATAAAAGGAGTCAAAGTAGCCGATGTTCCCTCACCCCAGTCGGTTGGTTCTGCAGTATTTGTATGGCATCCTGGTGGCTGAGGCCCAGTTGTAGCCACACAGCATGCGTGTGCACCAGTCTGTCCAGAACACTGAGCCTCCGATGGAGGGAGTCGTAGCCTGAATCTCTGGCTCCAGCCAGCCCCGCTCCGATCCCAGCACAAGGGGAGGCCTGCAGGAAAAGACCTCCAACCTCTTCACCCAGTCTGAAAACAAATCACACAAATATAAAATATACAACAATTCCTGTAAAGTACTTTCTTATGTCACCACAGAATGTTGTAACAAACACTTTCACTTTTTTACGAATTCAGTCGAACGCCAGTGTGATTGGAATATCTCAAGTAATAATGAGACTTATTTATGCTTATTCATCATTAGAGCCCACATGTTAAGACACACCACGCCACCACCATAATGACTTACTTCACCAAAAGACATTGCAGCCACAAAGAACACACAGTGAATGACCGAGTAAATACATTATGATAGGTAGAAACTAGAGTCAAGTCGCTACGACAGAGAACCTGAATTCTTGCATGTAACTGTGCCAAAAGAGTTTCAAATAGTTTTTTTCCTGCAGTCTGAGCAGAGAAGGGAGAGAAATTGATGAAAAAAAGCTAATTAAGTGGATGGAGAGATGAGGGTAAGATGGACTTTAAACTCTACAGAGAAGGCTAAAAGTAAGTGACCCTCACCATAGTGAGATGGAATTCAGTAAGTCTGAAGCTCTGCACTGAAACATAAGGAAGGGTGTTTCAAAATAATAGACAATTAAGTATGTTGTACTATCTTTTGCTGTGCGATTATTCATAATACAAAATAATCCACCGTGGATGTTTGCTTGCATGTATTTGATTGGCCAATGCAGCACCTTCATAATGACCTATCATTATGTTGCAACCAAAGTTTAAGTATTTTACTGCTGGAAAGATGTTCTTTTTATAACACTAGGCAGTCTATGCAGTAATACTTTCTCAATAGGTGCTAACCAGAAAAAAATGGAGAAAAATGGCTGTTGCATTTGTTTTTGCTCAAGAGGTAGAAAATCTTCAACTACCAGAATGCACTGTGCTGCACGAGACCAATAAAAGCTTTTGCTGGTAGGTGAGGCAATGCAAGCTTGGCTGTTTTTGGCACAGGAAACAATATGTCGGCCAGCTGGTAACAAACAATCTGGCATAACAGTTCAACAGTAAACTACAATATTGCTTTATTTTGCCAGACTCCTCCTGTGTTGGCACCCTCGCTGCCCCAACAGACTGACACCAAATGAATGAGAGGGCTGCATTTTTTTTAGCAGGGCTCTGTTGGTCTGAGTGTGGCCCATCACAGCTCATCAGAGTTTGCCATTTGCTCAATATTTTCAGCTACTTTTGTTTTGTTGTGTTTTCATGTCTCCAGCTTGCATACGAAAATGTAAACTGCCCTGATTACACTCTCCAACATCAAACATATGTTAAAATGATAATAATCAGGACAACAAGCAGTGACTGGATCAGAGGAGAAACAGCAGCACACTGTATGATCTTATCTCTTGTCAACACCAACTGACCCACGCTGAAATAGACTCGGTCCAACTTAAAACCAATTGTGCCTAAATCATATTTATATTAAGCTCAATGACTGTGACGATCCGACCTCAATCACACTTTCACAAACGTTGGATTATTGCACTGCTACAGTGACAATCTCCCTTTTCATCCCATTGCATTGCTGCCAAAGCAAGTTGTTCCCTGTGAGAGTTTTTTTAATGCACATTTAAAATGTGACCAGCGGGATCATATATGTGTGTAATCTCTTATCTGAATGCCTCTTGTTGACATGATGTTGAAAGATGTGTTCAGCTAGAATGTGGTGTATATTTTAGAAGCAGATGAAAAGATACAAGTGAAATCAAACAACTGTGGAGAGTTGATGCATATGGAAGTAAAGACGTGTCTGCTCAAGTTAATAATGTTTCAGCTCGAGGGACAAATAACACAGCTGTATGACTCCACTGCAAGAACGGACAGATGAAGGGAAAAAAGAGATTCTCAAGTTCTTGGTAAATTTTGAAATTGGTCTGAGTCACAGCTAGGTCTCACGCTCACACACACCCTTACACACACACACACACACACACACACACACACAAAGTTGAATTATGAATGAATATGAATCTGAATGTACATGATATACAGTAGCTGCCCTGCACTGCAGTAACCTGTAGAACCATGGACTGTAAGTAAAGATGGACGACGTGTCTTCACTTCCTCCCACTGTTAAAAAGAGAAATCAAAATATCGGTGGCACAGTTGCTGCCGTGTTGCACTGGTGAGGTATCTTGGAGACAGAGTCTGCAGCGGTGATCTCCACGATATCCAGTTCCTGCCTGTACCCCATCCGACCAATCGTGAGCAGCACCACTGATCCAGAGTACAACAATTGGCACACACAGCCGTAAATCCTGATGTCAATCCCCCTTTTTATAGCATCAAATAACTAATTAAAACCAAACTTATCAGAAAAAAAGAATACTTAAACAAACATCAGCGTGTAAGAACCACCTAAAATGACAGAAACCATCTTTGGGAAAAATGTATTCCTGCACTTTGATATTTTAGTTTTGCCCAAGTCCCAGGGGGCAGGGTTTATGACCTATACTGTCACCAGCCACCAGGGGGAGATCGAGATGCTCTGCTTCACTTTTGGGGAGTCGTGATGTCATCCAACTTTATAAACAGTCTATGGTGTAAGTGTACACAAAGTAGCAGGCTAGTGTGCAGGAATGTTTATATGTTGCTTAGCAACAGTCCAGCTGTGAAACTTGAATGTGTCTGCTAAGCTAATTAATGATTAAACAAAATCTGTTGTTGCTCATTACTGCTAACTAATAAATGGTTCTTGAAGAAGAACCTTTGTGTAAAATGTGATATATGTGATACTGTGTAAATCTTACATCATTAGATCGTTGTTACTGATGCATTTTTTTGTGAGTAGCATTTTATTAGTGAAGTAAGTTGGGGCTGAGCTAATCTTTAAGTACTTTATACACTGTTGGTTAGTTATTCTTTTGACAATACATCATAGTTTAGAAGCTCATTATATTTTTGTATGTAAAATCTTCATTTGTCAAGAAACTCTTTACTATAGCTAATGGACTAATAATCCACTGATTATAATAATCACAATTCTTTCCACCCCACAGCAAGTACTGACTTGACACACACACACACACACACACACACACACACACACACAAAGACACAAAGAGAGACTTTTAAATGTGTGGGCAGCACTAATATGTTTCGAGTGCAGCAAAAAAAACATCAGACAGTGTATGACTAATTCAGTGACTTTAAAGATAATTCAAAAGCAGATGAACTAACTGGAACTGATCACAGTGACTTCATACTGCTAGCCCCTGTCACACTTCCTTCAACATGTAACAGGTACTTTCTGGATTACACAGAAAAGATATCTGAGAAAATAATTACCAGAACTGCAAACCAAACATTCCAGTTCCTGGGCATGTTGTGAAACCTTTTTGAGATTATTTACACACACTCTGACTTTTCTTTATATAGCTGATGTCTTTTCATCAGAGGATTATCTGGGATCTAGATTTTCTACAGGTTGAAGATGTTGTCCAGGTTCACAGACTTATGGTCCGCACACGCACTACATAACAGTTCCCGGACAGCTTATCAGTTTGTCATGCTATCCTCTGATTCTTGACATAGCTTGGTGACAGCTTTGTGTCAGTATGTTGTCTTCAAATTTCACATAACACAACATTAAATGTCTTTTAAGAGTGCCCTCTACTGGTATCTACGGGAAACTGTGCTACATTAAATTTAATGGCAATACTGGCTGGCACATGAAAAGAAAGGTATCAATGAACACACAGACACACACACAGTCAAAACCAGAAAACTATCTTATGTGCAGACACACGATGAGCTCACCCATCAAGTGTATCTGTCTCATGGCCTCCTTCTGCAGGCTTCGTCTTTTTCCCCATCTCCTTCTTTAATGTGCCGATCTCCCAGGCAAATGAGTCGATCAGCTACAAAGAGACACACACAACAATACATTTGTTTAGTTAAAAATAAAACAGGTCAGAGATCAGCTTAGAAAGAAAGAATACGTATTTCTGTGGAGGTCGTTTCAGGCTTTTCTACTGAATTTCTTATTAACTGGTTCTCATTGATGAACATTTTGTGTGTGTGTGTGTGTGTGTGTGTGTGTGTGTGTGTGTGTGTGGCTGTTTGCAAGACAGTCTACCCCCGCCTGACCACTTCCCACTGATCAGAGTTACTACAGGAAACAATTGGTACAAGCCTGTGTGTGAATGATCCTTCATGTATGGGTCACATAACATTGTTATAAACACTATTATTTCACAGAAAAAAAACCTTAAATTTGTAAAACCATTTACACAATTCATATTCGTAAATCACATCATACAATCATTAATGAACCTGTAAATTAAGTTCATGAAGTTTGATTTGGTTGCTATTATTAAATAACAAGATTCAATTATTATCTGTTCAATCTTTCTTAATTCATTGTATTGATGAGCCTCTTTGCCTGTGGCCCATCAGAGTCTAGGCTTGTCACAGTGTTTGTGTCACAGTCCTGGGAGTGTGAGCACAGTGCGACCAAAAGGAGTTGTGACATTCTGATGCCGTCACCACAGTGTGTGCAGCCTGACCAGTTCACCAGCCCTGAATGTGATTCCTTTTGCAACCTTTTTTGCACAGTTTTTCTGGGTTGAAGGCTTTCAGTTAAGAAACATTATGTCTGCTCCCAATTTAACTCACAAGCTACTCCCACTGAAGCGGAGACCATAATCAGCTTTTCGGTTCAGGTCTAGTGAGATCATTCTGTTCAGTTATAAAAAAAAAAAACTGTAGTTGGTTATTTGCTGTTATATTTGTTGCAGCTGTCACTGCATCCACAGCATGATACATGGAAGAGATAATCTGTGAAAAAACATTATCTTCATGTGTAAAATTAGAAAGTTTGTGACCCAGTCTCCATGTTGAAAACAGTCGAGCTGAAGACTGAGCGCTGCCCACTGGCCGGAGCAAACACTCTCATGATACAGCTAAACAGTACACTCTAATATAATTCTGAAAACATTTGAGGTCAAAAAGAGGCAACGCAGTGACAGAATCTTGATTCACATTTGATCAGTGCTGCCTAGTTTGACAATTTGACCACAGTTCACAAGCAATCGTTGACATGATTGACAGCTGTTTAAGAGACTCCTCGGATCTTATTGGTTGTTTTCCATGAGCCGCGGTAGATTCTAGCAAATGCCATTGGAAGCACAGGGAGTGAGAAGAGGAATGTGATTTTTTTTACAGACTATCTGTCTCATGTGCTTCTATGCAGACAGTCATCAAATATGACAAAGGTAACAAAATAAGCCTACCAGTCCCTCGAAACATGTTATATCTTTTTTATTTAATGCATAAGCAAACTAGTCTTGGGTGGCATCATGGTAAAATGGTATACTGAGCTATTAAAAAAATTCCAAAAGTAAGATTTTAAATACCGTCAAAACAGTTTATTAGCCACATAATTTTATTCAACACATCAGGTCCTCCAGCAAGAGGGGTGCCTATTCATGTATTCATTTTTCTATGGGCCATAAGTATTTAAACCCAGCAGGACTTATCTCCATCATAGACTATATATCAAGAAGGATGCATGTCTCTACTTACCCCCCACTATACAGAAGTGAAGCTAAAGTATAACAGGTATGTCGGCTGCCATTTTGCTCTGGTGGCATCATTTGGAGCCAGAGTCTGCTCAGCAGCAATCAAGTATCAAGTTTCAAGCAGCACAACTGATTGCAAGCCCACCGGATGGCTCACACAGTTGTAAAATCCCCATTTTATAGCATTAAAAAACAAAGCTACTAGAAAAACAAACACTTGAACATACAGCAGCATGATAAGAACTACCTAAAATGACAGAAACCATCCTTTGGAAAAATCTATTTGATGCATACTTTTTAGTTTTAGGTTTGGCCCATGTCCCATCTGCTAACATGGGGGGCCAGGCTTTATGACCTGTACTGCAACCAGCCATGGATGATGGAGATGTTTTGGCTTCACTTTTGGGGAGCTGTCATGTTGTCCAAAGCCTAACACAAACTAAGCCATGAAAAAAATAAAGTGTAAAAACAACAAATTGTGGTTTTACTGTGGGTGGGGAGTTATATTGGACAAGCTATATTTTGTCCAAGAGCAGTGACTTCCTGAGTCTTGTCTTCACCAAAGACTCAATCTCTTCTTCTAACTCTAGCCAAAATGCAAATTATACTTTTAATTTCAAATCTATTACATACAGCTAGAATAATTTTATTATCATCATTAGTTCTTATTATATATTCATACATGCAATATTTGGCCTCTCTTTGAAATTAGGCTTCATCACTGCTCCTTGAACTGTGTGTTCTCTTCATTGTTTCATTGATGTTTTAAAATCTCGATGTTTTAGTCTCTCCAAATCTTTGTTTGATAGTATTAGACCTGTCTTATTTATTAATTTCTTGGTTTTTAATCACTCTTGGGTTCTTAGGGTCCCATTTTTGTTCAATTCTTATTTAGTCAGATAGTTTGTGTTATTAGTTTAATGTCTGTAACTCACAGTTATTGCTGATTTTCTTGGCCACAAAAAACATAGATTTTTAATTTCGGCAAGACTTTCCTTAAACAAACAAAAAAACAGATATGTGAATTTCTGTAGTATGAGTAGTTCTTAATTTTTTAAATCTGCTGCCGAAAGGCAAACTTGAGCACTACTTTCCAGCAGAGGTCTCCATTTCTAACCACACATCTACTGTGCGTTGTATGAAACCTGTTGATGACCTCCTAACCCCTCTGTTAGTTCCATTAAAGCCATGCTGAATCGGTGCATTTACTACTCCTGAGGCTCTGAGCAAGCTTCTCTAAAAACTACTCACAAGGCTGCACGTTTGACCCTGACTCAACCCCTTTAAGTCAAACAGCTACCTAGTGTCAATGCACTGACAAGAAAATGTGAGCTCACACACTCTCATACAGGGATGAGCCTTAACAGTTGGATAAACAACAGGCACAGAAAGCCAAAAAACAGCATGAGATAACAGCCTTGACCACTATGACACCCTGGTCTGATCAACATCTCCATCTAGAAAAGTTTCATTTTGAAAATGTTAAGTTGTTGTACTTCTCCTTTTTGTTTTTTTCTTTTCCTTTAGATGATTTTAGGGCTGAATAATAATGCCATATTTTAAGGCTATATCGCGATGCATGACATATATCTTGGAATTTTGAAATTTCCTCTAAACCACTGTACACTACTAAAATACTATACTACCAAATAAACTACTGTTAAGTAGTAGTACTGTTAGGCTACTTTAAAGTTAAATTAAGTACTGTTAGTGTATAATAGATCGAATAAAGTACTGTTATAGTGAAATAAATCAAAGCACAACCACTGGTGCTTTTATTCTGGAGCACACGGATCGTCGCGGGCCACAAGTGTTTTTTGTTTTGTTTTTTGCTGTAAACTCGAAGCTCCCTGTCACACTGGTGCTCCATATTTGCAGAATGCAACTAAATGGTCCCAATCTCAAGCCCTGCAGATACAAAAACACACTCCTCATCTGCTCACACACTTTCGCCCAGGACAGTGGCTGAGTGGTCTGGATGGGCGGGGAAGTGTGTATGTGACGTACCACGTTTGCCTTTTTTATTTTCTTCTTCTTTTCTTGAGTCCTGCATTAACTCTCCCAATTAAAGCTGCTAAGCTTTCTATATATTTCAGTATGGTTATTGCAGTTCATGGAGTTCATGGATTCATGGATTTTGGAGAATGTGGTCATTGAATGCATTTTAGGTAAGAGCAATGAAAATAGGATTTAAAGTTTGGTCCACATAGACTTCTGTTTCACTGACTGTGTGAGGAGTTTTGACAGTGTGACTTCAGTTTTAACCAGTGCACGTTTGCACTGTTTGTAAAAGCTTTAAACTGGTGAAACACAGGGTGGTTTTCATTGTGACATGCCACAGAAGTTAGCAATGACTCCAGTTTTTCAGCAAAAATGCACCCAGAACACAGACATGTCATTTTTTTGTCAGCAGACCAGTCAAATATTACTGGGAGTAATGAAGCAAGCTCAATGAGTTGAACGAGAAAGAACAAGAGAGTTAACAAGTTCAGACAGCTTTTGTTCTATAGAAATACTAAATACTGGAATTTAGATGACCCTGCTTCTTGTCAGTGTGACACTGCCGTCATTTGTTTCGCTTCCCAATTATCTGTCTAGTTGGGCAATGCTTCCATTGGGTAACATCACATCAGCGGCTCGAGCAGAGCAAGGAAACAATTAGCTCAGCTGTTTCAAAGGAAATCGTAAATGCTGACTCATTTAATTTGCCAAAGGCACATTTGAAGATCGAAACCTAAAATACTAAAAACGACAGGATTGCTTTCTAAAATAAGTCCCTGACATGATTTGTTTCCTTTAGACATATGGTGTCCACTTCAGAGAGTGTGTTGGATTTTAAGGATTGGCGTTTCATTTTATAGGAACTTTATTCTAAATTCAAAGAGCTTTATTGGCCTAACCACTCAGATGCAGTACAAACTTCATTGTGTTATTAATATGCTGGGAAATATTTGAAATACTAATTGAAAAACTACAAAAACATGAGTGTTTGAGATGAATGCCTGCAAGCAACAGGCTAAACAAAACATGATTGCAAGGTAGAGGGTTAAAAAAAACACACACAACACACACAAACATTTACTTATGTAGATATTGTGAGTATATAAGAGCAAGAGTTGGTGGTGAAATCATGCTAAGTTTTACATGGAAACTGGAGCTAGAAACCTATAGCTAGCTATATTTGGCAAGTAGACCGCAGCTAACAAAAAATGGTATACAGTGTGGCACTGCTGAAAATTCCACAAGGTTAAGTGCCCACAGCATGCAATAAAACCACCTTTAACTAACAAAGTCATCCTTCAGGCATCATGAGGAAAGTATGTGTGCTTGGCATTGGGACTGGCCAGATGCCAAATATTGCAGAAAAAAACATTAAGAAAGAAGCTGGAAAATGCTGTCTCTACATCCATGACTGGTATGGCTGTAATAATATGTATGGTTAAATTTGTGGATATTCTAGTGCCTTACATTGTACTATAAATACAATTTGGTATAGAAGAGTCAAAACTGCCTTGCCACCATGTTTCCAACCACCTATTTTGCTGTGGGGAGTTACGTTGACTTGCTGTCTGTGTGACCTTTCTCTATAATTTGCAAAAACTATTGGATAGCTACACTGAAATTCAACTTTTGTACATGGTGTTAGCTTAAATTGGCACATCTATTTTATGTTCTACAGTATATTAACTTCTCATGAGACACACAAGCCTGTATTTGTACTGATCGCTCCATTTTATCTCTTGACTGGTCTGTATTGGTAGATTCCTGAACTTACTGACTCTTCTATTATTAGCTCTTTTTCTGGCCCCCCTTTATTTTACCTTTTCCCTCAGGCTCGCTTGCTGTGAGGTGTGGTTACACTTCAGGGCCATGTGTGTTTAAGCCAGGCCTGTAATTATTACATGCTGCAGATAAACAGTGACACAGCCTTTACACTAAAGATGGGCGAGGATCAGTCTTTGAACTCTTTCTATCAGGTAGTTAAGCACACTAAGCAAGTGAACCACAGTATAAGGTGATACTAAGCTTTGACTATTGCCTCTTTTGTGTTTCATATAGAGACCCGATGCATGCCATTAATACTATACCTTATACCTATAGTACTTGTGATTAATTTTAATACAACAATTTAATTCATTGATTAATGTGTTGGTCAAAGTGCTGAGCAGTAGTCACAGTAACAAGCAACAACATTTTCCTTGGATTACCCAAAGCAAATAACATAATATATTGACTTACAGATATTGACACTATTTTACACTTAGTGTCCCAATAATATAGAGATGCCAACTTAGTTGTCATTAAGGGTGTAACAATCCATAAATCTGGATCAATATACTGATTCAATAATCAAAGTGAAACATTGTCAGATAGCAGTAGGCAGATAATGGCAAGCAGCTGATAACCATTAGCTGATCTGCTTCAACAATGTTCGGCTGAAAAACATGCAGGCTGAAATTCAACTGTGCTGTTCTGTCGGGAAATGCAGTGACTTAAACCAATGATGAGTAAGAAAAACTAGGAATAATACATGTCATTTGTTCAGCTATGCCTAGAGGAGGAATCCGCTAGCCACTGGGGTAATTTATCCAATGTAAACATGCTTGAGCTAATCATGGTGACTAGAAAAAAACAGTTGTTTTGTCTATGAACCTTGACAGTTTTTACTGAGCTGAATTTGACACCTTTGTAAATGATCTTGTTATTAATCCATGTCTTATGGCTGTTGGGAGAAGTTTGCCTTCAGAGTTTTAAGTCGGATAGACCTGAAGTTTTAGGAAAAATATGATGGTTTGATTTAAAATGAAAATATTTTTCCATAAAGTGCTTTCTGGCAGAAAGCCCTAAAGGTTAACTTAATCCCACATGCTGTTTTATGTGTGTTAGTGGAGTCAGTATAAAGTAAACTTTTCTGCACTTAAGCGGTTACAATTACAAAAACTGGTTTTATCTTTTATGGCTAAATGGATGGCGAGATATGTAGGCAAAACACCTGTCAAGCTGCAGACCACTGTTCGATAACAACAAAGTTGTGATTTCATGAGTCACTGCTATGTTTTCAGCGGCTTTTTAGGCACCAAACATGGGTGTTTTGTTGTGACTCACTGACTTTTTCCAGCAGCTTTTTAGGCACGAAAGGCGGTTGTTTCTTAACAACACACTGTTGCATTTCCAGCTAGTATTGTGCTCCCCAAATTGGCTATTTTAAGCCATAACATTATCTAACCTAACCATAACCAAATTGTTTTTGTGCCTAAATCTAACCACACATTAATCACAGACTTGTTGAAACATAAAGTTTGAATGTATCCACTACATAATAACGTGCAAGTGTAATGTATTGTGGTTTGCAGAAAACGTACAATGCCAACATTTTTTCTGAAGACTGAGTTGGCATTCTATTTTTGGGTGTTTCCAACTTGTTGTCAATATTTTTTCCCCTGCATAGACCCAATATGATCAAGTGGTGGGAAGGATATGCAGCTGTGCAGTGGTACACATGTCTATAAAATACACACAAATGTACAAGAGCCAGCAATGGATACTGATCAGTCAAGCGTGAGAGACAGGACATGTTACTAGTGGATATGGCAACTTTGATTACTACATAGCTACAATCATATAATATCAGCTGGTGTGGTCTGATGTATACAGTCAGTTCCTGTATTGTCATTTCTTGACTTGGTGAGGTGGGAATATTTGATGAGAGTCCTACTTCTCATTGTCTGACGAATATACTATTCGTCAGACAATTACTCCTTCCTTAAAAACAAATCTCTGTTAAGCAATCCAGGACAAACTGAGCTTTAGCAGAACAAGCAGAGATGAAAAGGCTTTCAGTTAAAACAAGCCACAGAGCTGTACTCAGGCCAGCTCCACCTCTCTCTTCCTCTTTAATCTTCCTCAGGATTTAGCCTGTAACTGAAATGTTTGTTGCCCTCCACCCACAACTCCCTATGTGGACTTAAAACAGATTCGTTGAGTGTCTTCATGTAAACTACAGAATGGCTTATCCCTACTGCCCTTACAGTTCTGTGTGCGAAACTGATTTTGCCCCGCACAGATATAATTATTGGAGTGGCACGTACCTTGAAGAAACTGCCTTTCCTTTCCTGCTTGCAGGGTTGACTGGTGGTGATGGACATGTTGTCTGTAGAGCCTTTTCTGTCTAGCTGTCTGCTGAACTGTCTGTGAAAGACAAAGGACATTAGAGCTATATGTACAAGACAGACAAAAACAAGGCAGCTCAGTTTTCCCCACTCAAGATCAGCCTCAGAGGAGATTTCTGACAAGAGTGGATTGAAAAAGATATTATTGAAGTTCCTCCAAACACTTCTTAATAAATAAATGTTGATTGTGTGAAGAGAAAAAGAAGACAAAAGACTCCTACAATCAAAACAAGACTAGTTCCTTTTTTGTTCAGCCAAACCAAATGGTATAACTTGTCCACTGATTGTTAGGTTGTTTAATTAATTGTCCACTACTGCCTCCAAGGACACAAGTGAACTTTGAAGCTCAGCAATAACGCCAAACTCGACAAGAGGTCTTAAATTGCAGCTGCCTGAGCTGATTGCGGCCACTCTCGACAAATCCAGCAGATGTGCTGAAGCGTGTTTCTGAAACACGGCACAGCTGCACCATGTGGCATTGTCCCTCCTAGCTCCCTTACAGTCAAGATGGTGGCAACACAGTAACAATGGGGAATTATTCATCTCTGTAGATGCTCCAGTTCAAAATGAGACCAAACTTTTTCTATCAATGTCAGTTTTTGAGCCATGATGGAGGTCAAAATGTGCCCAGCAACAGACTTGTTGTTTTTAGTAGATTTCCAGAGAATTTGTTGCCCCTACCGGCCAGTTAAGAGGAGTGAGGAGTCAGCAGTCAATGACGATGTAAAACAGTCAATGAAACAGGTTTTTTAACAATTGTGAATCACCGCCACAGAGTATATGGACGACATGTCTTTACTTACCCCCGCTGTACAAAAATGAAGCCAAAATATTCCAGGTATGGCTGCTGCCATCTTGCACTGGTGACATCAGTTGAAGCCAGTTTGTGCAGTAGCAATATCCACCCATAGCAACCCAACCCTGAGCAGCGCCACTGATTGTGAGCACAACAATTAGCTAACTATCAAATGATCAAAACCAAACTTACCAAAAAACACTTGAACATACAGCAGTGTGATAAAAACTACTTTAAATGACAGTAACAACTTTTGGGAAAAATGTATCTGAGGTGTACTTTGAGTTTTTAGTTTGGCTCATGTCCCATCCGCTAACATGGACAGGGCAGGCTTTACAACCTGTATTACAGCCAGCCACCAGGGGGCAATCCAGATGTTTTGGCTTCACTCGTGAGCAGCTGTCACATTGTCCATCTTTATTATACAATCTATGATTACTGCAACTAGTCCACTTTCCAGTGAGTTTAAGTTCTTTGATTAGCTATACGGCCCGCAACTTGGGAACTGCCCATTGGTTCGACATCCCATTGTTCCGACCATATTAAACCCATTGTTCCTAAGTCCGTTCCGAAATCATCATGATGCCCTGTGGTTAAGGTCTGGTTAAGGCACAAAAACCACTTGGTTAGGGTAAGGAAAAGATCATGGTGTGGGTTAAAATGAAAAAGAAAGTGACAAACACATAAGCCGTGAGCCTGCTCCGCCTCAAGCCGGTCGCGGCGCACCATACGCCCGCCGCGAGCCGTTCAGCACCGCGGACAGTCGGACTAATGGGATGTTGAACCAATGGGCTGTCGAACCAATGACATGGACCCCCGCAACTTTACTGTTCTTGTTCACTCTCAGTGCCCTTATAGTGTCATTCAGCCAGCTGATTTTATAAAAAACTGCTCTAAAAACTTAATGCACACATTTGCACGTCATCAAACAACAAACAAATAATGTTAGCAACTAGCCAGTGCACACAGTGGAGCATTTAGCAGCTAAAGAGCCAGTTATTTCCATCAGGAGTGGATAGTGGCCAAATACAGACCTAAAAGAGAGTGAATATTGGTCTGACATCCATCAGGTTGACAGAAACATGACTCCAAGTGAGTATTTATGTTCCTCTTTTACATCACTGCAGAACCTCGACTACTGGAGGTCAGAAGAAAAAACAAAAAAAGGTTTCGCCTAGTGTTATCATAAAGTCTACATTTTCATCTTCAGAATCATTGCTTTGTAACAATACTCTTTAAAGACCCGGGTCACTTGCAGTAACAAGAATCTTTTCTTTGTTACGTCTTTGATGAAGCTCTGGCAGCAATTTCATTCAAAACAATGAAGGCTCGGGCAATGTGGTTCCGACAAAACAGTTCCGTTGCTGAACACATGCACAAATACACACAGGCAAGTTTGACCCAGATGTTTCGGCAGATCTTATTACAGCAGCTGATATGAGCCAGCTGTGTAAAGGCATGCAAACACCTCCCGGACCTCCCTATTACGACAGGCACATAAAGAGGAAAATTCCATCAGCATCCATCTACTGACAACAAATTCATATCCTGACACAACAGCGCTTTGCCAGAAGATCGTTGTGGAAGCAAAGTCTTGTGGGTATTGTCAGACAGACTGGCATGTTTGGTATCTGACTCATTAGAGAGACTTGGGAAACCTGCTGAACAAAACATTTGCTGTTCAGAGCAAAAAAAGATGAACATATCCACATTCTATATGCATCTGGCCGGCACACACTTTGGCTTAGATCCAATATACTGTATATCAGTTTGCCTCCTGATGATGATGGCTGACACTCATTTCAGTGGCTTCAGGCGGATTTCTGAAGCAGCAATGTGGGTGTTGTACTCGGTAGTCATGGTAAAGAGGAAGCTGAGCCTGAAAAAAAATTATCAATCAACCAATCTAAGTTCTTGTTACTCTCAGTTATCTTTAGGTTGTGACTGAAAAAATCAAATTGTGGATACAAGTGACTGAAATGAGTATCCTTTGACAGGTGGCGGCTGGGCTCACCCTTACAGTCAGGGTAAGGAGCTCAGCCACCTTGAAGAAACTTCTATTAGCACAGCTGTTCCTTTCACATCAAACAGAACCCCTAGGACTTTTTTGTTTTGCGCCACTGTGACATACATAGCCCCTCCACTAACATGAGAAGGGTTTTGGACACCTATTTGTATGGAGTTGTAGATGTCGAATTACGTTTAATATAATGCTTCCCATACCCTATATGCTGTTAACATTGCTCCTGCATGTGGGGGCAGATGTAACATTTGACATCAAGTGTTTCAATCAATACTGTGACTTTAACATTGCCCATATAACCAGTTGATGACTGTTCACAAGTAGAACCATAGACTGTAAATAACAATGGACAACGCGTCTCCACTCCCACTGTACAAAAATGAAGCCAAAGTATCCTGGATACAGCCACTGCCATCTTGCATTGGTGACATCATTTGGAGCCAGAGCTGCCTTCACAGCATTTAGTTCTAGTCCATACACTCATCCGACCTATCTTGAGCAGCACCACTGATCGCGTCAAATCCTGCTTTTTCAGCATTAAATAGCCTAAGTAATTCAAAACAAACTTAGCAGAAAAACAAACACCTAAACAAACATCAGCCTGATAAAAACTACCTAAAAGAACAGAAACCATCTTTCAGAAAAAAATTATTTGATGTGTACTTTGGTTTCTTAGTTTGGCTCATGTCCCATCCGCTAACATGGAGGGGGCCGAGGTTTGTGACCTAATCTGCAGCAGGCCACCAGGGGGTGATCATCATGTTGTCCATCTTTATTTACCAGTCTATGAGTAGAACACAGATACAACGCACCTACATAAAAATTGTTTCCAAATAGTTCAGGAAATTTTTGAATTTGGCATCAAAACCAAAAACTGTTACAATTGCCGCAGTCTCCCGTAATCAACCTCGTGTTTCCAGTGGCAGAGACAAAACGACTAATGTCCTGGAGAAATGCAGATGAAAAATGGCTGGAATTAGGACTGGGTGATATGGCTTTAAAAAAAAGGTTATATCACAATACACAATATAGGCTATATCTCAATATTTTGAAATCCCAGCTGAACTACTGTAGACTACTAAAATACAAAATTATTATATGAACTACAATCACAATAAAGTAAAACAGAGTGGCTACTGTCATATAATTAAGTTCAATGAAGTACTGTTAGGCTAAAATAAAGATGAATAAAGTAATGTTGTAATGACGATAAATAAAGTATTGTTATAATTAAATAAATCAAAGCGAAACCACTGGTGCTTTTATTTTAAGCGCCTGGAGCCTCTTGGGCTGGAAGTGTTGATGTTTTTGTCATGGACTGTTTGTGTAATGAACTTTTGTCATGAACTTCAGTTTTCCACTCAACAGTTGTCGTGAGCAGTTAGCAGAAAGTTAAACTGTTAACCATGGCACCTTAAATGTGAGGATTTACTCACTGTAAGCTGGTAACAAACTAACAGCTCTCCAGGTCATATATTAGTAGTGTTTGTAAATGGCACTAGTGCTCCGTGGTCACAAAATGCAACTGCGAGTCGCTGTTTGGAGCCCTGCAGGTACAAAAACAAATACCTCACCTGCTCACACTATCATTAAACTCAGTAAGTTAAACTGTTACAGCAGCGCCGTTCAAGGTGGATGGTTTATTCACTGGAAACTGGAAACAAATTAAAGTAGGGAAACTTAGTTAATTGCATACGAGGGGATTTTTATATAACAAATGTATACATGCCATTCAATGGGAAACACTGGACTAGGGCAACTGCTGAACGTGTCTAACAAATGCCATAATTGTCACTGTATGTTGTTATTAGTCAGTTGTGCAGAGGTGAGAAAGTAAGCAGGGTTAGGATTTCTCTCTTAAGCTTTCTCTTTTCAATCAACACAGATATAATTCAGGCACCTCAGTAACATAATCTATTGAGGAATAGTTTTATGAAAAGAATTCTTCATTTAATGGCCATATGCCATATAAACCAAACAAGACCCAGTGGTTAAGGACAGCATGACTTTCTTTATACAATGTTTTCACATTGAGTACTGAACACTGACAGAAAATACAGGAACTTTTTTAATAAAAAAAATAAATCAGTACTAGCTATTAAAGAAGCAAACTGCCCCAACTAATCACACACATTTGAACATGTACAGTGTTTGGCTAAATGGCCTCTAGCTTTTGAACTGAGGAAAACAATATTTGGAA